TTTTTTTCAAGCATTCTATTGCTACATATAAATCTACATCTCTCTAGATCGAGTGTTGCCGGCGTTTAACTGCGTGGATGAGCCAGCAGTATTTTAACCAATAGGCTTCCTGCAAATTTCCCTTGACGAAAAAATTCCAAGACATAGTCAGTTGTTTTCGTGAGAAAAGACAATGAATATGAAAGAAAAGTGAGATGTAAAGGTCTTTATTTTTTTTTTTTAGCTTGATAGCAGCTGTACCCCCTCCTGCAGTCTTCGTCTAAATTTTGCAAGGTCCCTCATTATCTTCTGCCTTGTTCAGTTAGTTTCGACTTCTGAAGCTAGATCATCGGCATCGGCCTCTTCGTCCTCATTCATATTTACAGAGGGGGACCTCGTCAATAAACCAGTTTTTGTTACGGCAGATAACCGGCTGAAGTATCGAGCGATTCGCTGCTCTATCAACTAGTCAGTCTTAGACAACATTTCTGGCCGGTGTCGCCTCTTAAACTTGATATTTGGGAAATCACTTTAGAGGCGGTTGTCTTACCAGTTTCCTCCCCTGTCCAGCACACATCTAGGAGATAATTCTTTGCTTTCTGAGACAAGGTGGCTGTTTTTTGTGTTTTCCAAAGAGGCCATCCAAAGTCCACTTGGCTAGGTAGGGATTATTCGTCAGAATTTTACCTGAGGTCCGACCTTGAACGTTGTAACCCTTATAGAATGGCAAGCCGGTCTTCGTCCATTTCCTCCCGATCTTATCATAGGCAGATTTTTTTTTGTCGGCTTCACTGTGTTTGCCTTTGTTAGGGTGCTTTTGGATGGCAGCCAACGACTGAAACGTCTTGATGCATCCTTCCTCTTAGCAAGAATATTTCGCTGTCTTGTTCTGTCTGTGACGGATTGGGTATAGTTTTCGCGATGACCCGCGTTCAGAGATCTGTGCACGTTGTTGATCATAACAACAATTTTACTTCTCATGAAAGGTCACGCTACAAATACTATTTCTGCGTGGAATTTCTTGACGGTGGAAAGTGGAAAAAAATTTTTTGTCTTATTTTCTGAAAACATGGCGCAGTTATTGAATTTTGTGGGGCTATCACATTGATATTTCCTACCAAATTAGGGGGGAGCAGAGTTTCCCGTCATCCGCGGTCTGGAAAAGCCGAAGTCGTTACACACGGGAACTTGTACATCAACAAGCACGTGACATGTGACTTTAAAATCCCCTCTCCTGTTACAGTTTTCTTATTGTGAGCTGCGCGATAGTGATAATTAACAATCAAATCATAGACCGTCTATAATTTGATTGTTTTGTTCCGTATAAGAGCCCTATTTCCTGATTTTAGCAAATCTCCAAAGTAATAAACGACAGAAGAGAGAAAAGCTACGATTTTAACATCGATTTTTCGCCCACATGCATCTCTCTAAACGTGAAATTTTCCCTTCCTACAAAAAATCTCGAAAATTTTTCGCATTTTTTATCTTTCTTGATCAATCATCGTTTATAAAAAGCTAAAAAAATGTAGGTTTATTCGGTCAAGTGACCGCCTAGAGCAAGAATTGCGTGACAGGTGTAGTTCAGAGAAACTTGTGACAGTCGCAGATTTTAAAAGGCATCCAAGACAAAATTGTGGCAATGCCCAAAGATCTTTTTTATGATCCTTAGAGATAAAATGATGGACTATAAAGGGGAATCAAGATTAGTGTTGTAGCTTTCTGGCAAGGGGAGATATTTGACTTCAAAGTTGTCAAATATTTGGATGAATTGAAAGTCTAAAAACACAGTCGTTTATTTGCCTCTGTTGATTGGCAAGCCGTCCATAAAATTGACTGATACTTGCGGTGAACATTAACTTAGGATGTAAAAATATGTGTGCAAACCCTCAGAGTAATTGGTTCGATACCATCGCAGTGAGAGCTTTATAAATTTTACCTATTTTGAAGCGATTTCCTCGGTGAAAACCAAGAAAAACCGGGGGGTGGTCTATCTCCCCCCGGAAAAAACCAAAACAGAAACCAGCTTGTCTTTTTGGGTTTTGGGGTAGACCCTTTAAACTGGCAAAGTTTCATTGGAATCGGTGAGATGACATGTAGCACGACTGCCTGGTGCTCTCGTGGACACGTTCTAAATATAGGAAATAGTTTGAACCCGGGGGCAACATGTAATAGTATAGTGTGATCGTCCAGGTGACAGTAGTCACCACCATCGACAACAGCCCTGTCTCAGAACTACGCTCACCCGAACGATCAGACTACACTATCACACAATGCTCTTAGTAGTAATTGGCGAATGTAGTCTATTTCACCTCTGTTAGAATGTGTTAGCATCATACAGTTGAGAGAGAGTAGCAACATTGTTTATTTATCACATTTCTCCAATTCCGGACTGATTCTTAGGCTGGAGATTGCAATGAAATGTTCAGATGAGAGGTCTAAAGGAAGATGACGAAACAAAAGCAAAAGAATAGACTAATTGTTTAAAGGTCAACTCTAAATTTAATTTTCCCGAGACAACGCTTTTCTTCCGGCTTACACGTAATCGACCACCCCAGTCTCACTCTTGGGTACCTCACATATTGTAACATATTCAGTGAAACTTGACCTAGAGCTGTTTCTGTAAATATTTTCATGTAGAAGCTGAAAATTCAAGAGAGCAAACTTAGTAGCGTCCTTATTTAAAACGACTGAATTTAATTTGTTAAAATGCACTCAGCAGCGGGGCCTTATCTCAGTTACGTATTTGACTTGCTCGTCACGAACAGCCTGGATGCTATTCAATCACAACTAAGACACAACTACATCATTCACATACTGTAATGAACATCAAATGGAGCAATGGGGTAGGTGGCATGGTCCCCTGGACTAAGATTATACGTTTTCAAGCAGAGTTTTCAGAGCTAATATGTTGTGACGTCTGGTTAATAAATAGTGTCCCAACAAACCAGTTTTAGAAATAGAGTCGAATCCCTACTAATGGCCATGACCACCTTTCTGCGACGGCCATTTTTTCTCCCGACTATTGTACGGAAGAAAAGCCTCAAGTTGCTCCAAACGTTAAAAAAAGGGGTTTAAAAAAATTGTTCGATAACTTTTTTCTGAGGAATCTCCCTAAAAGAGGAGTATCAAGTAACATGAATTGAGGTGAACCGACCAGAGAAATGCACGGAAAAAATCCTTCCTGCGATCACGCCGTTCATTTTTATTTCCAGAGTCGAGAGCCTCAATCGATAGCATGCAGAGACTTCATCTGGGTTCCAGAATCCCTCCAGTTGCATCCCTTATCCCGCTACCATGGCGAAACTTTGAACGTCTGTTTGCTACCGTTTTACACTGCTGACCTATTCAAGAGAAACGCAGGAGATTTTCTAGGTTTTCTGCCGGAGTCAAATCTTATTTTTACTTATTTGGAATGGCTACATAGCTAATAATCAGTTGCAATTATTCTTTCCTTTAAAAAAGACTTAACGTTGAGCATATCCAAAAAAAAATAAAGAGACATCGTTTCTATTTTTTCGATACAATAGACCTTGAATGCAATTGCTCTCATGCAACTGACCAAAGAAAGGGTTTCTGTCAAAGGATCCTAGTCAACCACAAAACATTGCGCGCTTAATCCGCCACTTTCTATGCCATCTAAATTAGAGAAATTTCGATTTTGGTCTATCATCCAAGTGCATCCGAGCGACTTAAATCTATTTTGATGTCTGAAATTGTCGTGGTAACTTTCTGAAATTATCAGTGGTTTATTCTGGGTAGTTGTGTAATGGTTTCTCGCAATTTTGTTAAGAAATTTTTGTTTGTTACTGGGAACGTCGAAGGCATCTCGTGTTCCTTCACATGGAAGGCCTAAATCCACGGAGCAGACGAAAAATCTCAACCTCTGGAATGACAGGAAGGATAGTCCTAGCATCAGAGATCTAGCTAATAGCCAATTTGCAGATTTTTCTGCATCAAGGCGTCGACAAGCTTCACGTAGGATACATATAACAAAAGGCAAAAGACCAGTTAAAAGTTGAAGTATTGACGAGCCTGCTCGACACTCTTGCCGTCCACAAGCGATTTTAAAATTTTGTCTTCATAGATTAGTTCTGACCAGCATATATTTTGATGCTTTTTTTTTGGCGATGTAATTTTGAATGAGGTGCTATTTCCACATCAGTATGTTCTTGAGTTTAGATAAAGCCTGGTAATATTGTTTTACAAAAGGCAACATTTTCTTCTGTGTGCTGGTTTCTTTGTTTTTTAAGTGACCCTGGAGCAGAAGACTCCAGACATGTATTTCTCCAGAACTTCGTCAGGTATCCTCTTTCTTCTTCTAACTCGTATTTTTAAGCTCTGTACGTTTTTTATTAAATGTTAAGCGCGTCGGATTTGTTTTTGGATGCGTAACGCTTCTCCTTCTCCGAATCCTTTCTTTACGTTACGTAAAAAATTGTTTACGGGCCGGCACGACTCATGCCGAGCGTCTAGTTAATGTGAACGAATTTCTCCGCAGTTGTCCGTATGTTGACAAAACAGAGGCGTGGTTCACAAGGATCCTTTAAGACGTTACATCAAAATGATACCTCAAATATTGAAGGTTTTGTTAACCTATCCTAGCAAACGGCTTTGAAAAAAAAATCAAACTAGATATTAGTGGTTCTTTTATACCTAAACTACTGTTTTCACTTTATTGATGTCGCCTTACGTACGTCAACATTGTTTCTTGCCCATTATATCAGAAATATAATTCTTGAATACGAAACCAAAGCATCCTTTTGAGGATGTTAATTAAATTAAATTAAATGCATTTATATAGCGCCACATTCCATTAATTGTCCATGGCGCTTAACAATACTCTAAAAACCGTAAAAATTAAAATCCTAAGAATAGCAAAACCTAAGAAAGCACAATAAATGGAAATAGATCTCCCCTAATTTGAGATAGCTCTTTTTTGAATTTCTATGAAATACAGGGATAGAGTATTTTCTCTACTTGTTTCTATGTAAATTATCCATCTAAAAGTCTTTTAGCTCGGTTTACTTCGAGTAATTTTCATTATTTAATCTCTCTGGATCATTTTTCCTGTAAAAAAAAAAATAGAAAACAACAATTCATTTTTAACTGAACAGATATTTTGGATGCAAAGCAAACACAACTTTACCAAGCACAATATGTAAATATATATATGGCAGCTACACTTGTATCTGATTGGCAGAGTGGCACTGTTGAGATTCTATATTTTACACCAGAGAGCGTCAATAACTCTCCGAAAAGAAAAAAAAATACATATAAATATTTAGGTAAAGATTAAACTAGCCTTGATGTTCAAGGTAACAAAGGATCCTCGCCGACAGTCAGCGACCAGTAAGTCGTAGCCACCATCACGTCTAATTTACATTTAATTTATGAAATACCTGTTCTCACCGATTCTTACCTCTGCTTCTCAAACTCGAGCCTCACGTCATCTCCAATCAGCGTAAACGAAGCCCACTCAGACAATTTGGTAAGGCCGTTTTTTCTCATCCACTTCATGGCTTGATGAAGGGATTCACTGGCACTCTCTCCTCCAACTAGGTGTTCGTAGAACCGACTCATCAGCTGCTCTGTTGCTGAGTCTGGAATGGCCCATAGCGCAACCAACACGGAACGAGCACCAGATCCTAAGAACGCACGGGCAATCCCTATAACTCCCTCGGCTCTTATCTCTCCACTTCCACTGTGACAGCAGCTAAGTACCACCAGTTTAGCTGTGACTTTCACTCGTGAGACATCCGACATCGTCAACATGGAAGCTTGCTGAGGTGGGATAGTGTTTCGACTGTTGGAAGTAGGAATGGGGGAGAGGGCAATTTCTCCCCTTTCAGCGTTACCATGGGCAGCAAAATGAATCAGACTCACTGAACTTATCCGCTCAAGTACCGCCTGCTTCGTTGCTTCCGCTTCTACCAGAGGCGGAACACCCACCAGTCGTCCGACCATCTCCGCTTCCTTTCTTGCGCCTGGCAATGGCGGCAACCAATCAACCTTGGGATTGCCTATTATCAAGGCACCAGTGTTGCTGTGATAGTTCTGTGGACTATCTTGAATGATCTGGAGCGTCGTCAAAGAAGGAATGACACGGATCCTATGAGTCTCCGACAGGTATTCGGCTCCCTCCTTTTCACTCAGGGCAGCAAAAGGAACTTTGTACAACCTGCGGTCAGGGACAATAATGACTTCAGGTTCCTCAAGCAAATCATAAACGGGGGCAATAAACATTTTGTAACACAAAGATAGACTTGAAATGACTCCCTCGTCCTCATCCTCGTCCTCATCCTCGTCCTCATCGTCGTCCTCCTCGACGAGTCGCAATTTTTCTGAGCTCTTTTGTTCGGGGGAGAGAGGTTGCAATTCAACCATATTTAAAGACCGATCTTCACAATCCTCAATGGGCCAAATGCCAAGACTCCGGAAATTATCAGCCAAATATTTACTCAAAGACAAATCTTTGGGCAACCCAGCCTGCACTAGATTCTCTTCCAGTGATATGCTTCGATAGTGAAGGACTCCATTTGTTTTCAAGATCCACAAATGCAGATGATTGTGAAAATAAGAAATGTACAAACAAGTACAGTTATTTTTCTTTCTAAGAATGTTCTCAATGCCAAACCAAGATTGTGGATTAGCAGAAATGTGTGTTTCAACCGAGTACTTCTCTACCATCAAGTCTGATAAGCCTCTAGCTCGACCCAACTCCTCAACATAAAGAGCGTCAAGAACATTTCCGGTGCTGCAAAGCAAACTACTAAACAGCTTGTAGGGAAATATTCCTGAGACCTCCAGAAATGATGTTTTAAGCTGATCATTGGTCCCCAAGAAAGATCTCAGCTCCTCATACTTTTTAATGCACAGTTGAAGACACGAAAGGGAGTCTTCGATTTTATTTTGAAATAAATGCAAAATGGCGTAACCTTCAAGGACATCGAACTCTCCTTTTCTATCTCCAATATCTCTGAATATGGATAAGGCTTTCTCTAAGCATACTTCCGAAGCTTCATAATTTCCAACAGCTCTAAACAAAGTTCCAAGGTTTGCAAGATCTGCTGCTTCCCCTTCCTTATTACCGATCTCAGTGCTGATGACAAGCGCTTTTTGGATGTACTCTTTTGCATTGTCGTAGTGTCTGAGCGACAATAACACAGCACCTAGGTTTCCGAAGCATGAAGCCTCCCCCCTTCTGTCGCCAATCTCAGTTCTGATGACAAGCGCTTTTTGGAGATACTCTTTAGCCCTTTCGTATTGTCCGAGCGACTTAAACAAAGTACCTAGGCCTTCGTAGTCATTTGCTTCTCCTCTTCTATCGCCAATTTCAGTGCTGATGACGAGTGCTTTTTGGAGATGCTCTTCAGCTTTTCCGTATTGCCCGAGCGACTTAAACACAGTACTTAGATTTCCGTACGCTGCTGCTTCTCCTGCTCTGTCGCCAATTTCAGTTCTGATGACAAGAGCTTTTTGGAAATACTCTGTAGCCTTGTCGTATTGTCCGACCACCATCAACACCTTACCAAGGTTCACGTAGTCAGTTGCCTCTCCTTCTCTATCGCCAATTTCAGTTCTGATGACAAGCGCTTTCTGGAGATACTCTTTAGCCTTGTCGTATTGCCCGTTCGACATAAACACAGTACCTAGGTTTCCATAGCATGTTGCTTCTCCGTCTCTGACGCCAGTTTCAGTTGTGATGAGAAGTGCTTTTTGGAAATACTCTTTAGCCTTGTCATATTGCCCGACCGACATAAATACAGTACCTAGGTTTCCGTAGTCAGCTGCCTCTCCTTTTCTATCGCCAATTTCAGTTCTGATGACAAGCGCTTTCTGGAGATACTCTTTAGCCTTGTCGTATTGCCCGACCGACATAAACAGAGTACCAAGGTTTCCGAAATCAGCTGCTTCTCCTCTTCTGTCGCCAATCTCAGTTCTAATAACAAGTGCTTTTTGTAGAAACTCTTTAGCCCTGTCATATTGCCCCAGCGACTTAAACAGAGTACCTAGGTTTCCGTAGTCAGCTGCTTCTCCTCTTCTGTCGCCAATCTCAGTTCTGATGACAAGCGCCTTTTGGAGAAACTCTTTAGCCTTGTCGTATTGCCCGAGCGACTGAAACACAACACCTAGGTTTCCGTAGTCAATTGCTTCTCCTTCTCTGTCGCCAATCTCAGTTCTGATGACAAGTGCCTTTTGGAAATACTCTTTAGCCTTGTCATATTGCCCGAGAGACTCAAAGACAGTACCTAGGTATCCGCACTCAATTCCTTCTCCTTCTCTGTCGCCAATCTCAGATCTGATGACAAGTGCTTTTTGGAGATACTCTTTAGCCTTGTTGTATTGCCCGAGATCCTTGCAAACAGTACCTAAGTTTCCATAGTCAACTGCTTCTCCTTCTCTGTCGCCAATCTCTGTTCTGATGGTAAGCGCTTTTTGAAGATACTCTTTAGCATTGTCGTATTGCCCGAGCGACTGAAACACAGCACCTAGGTTTCTGTAATCAGCTCCTTCTCCTTCTCTGTCGCCAATCTCAGTTCTGATGACAAGCGCTTTTTGGAGATACTCTTTAGCATTGTTATATTGCTCGAGCGAATGAAACACAGCAGCAAGGTTTTCGTAGCATGATGCCTCTCCGTTTCTGTCGCCAATTTCTGTTCTGATATTAAGCGCTTTTTGGAAATACTCTTTAGCCTTATCATATTGCCCGAGATCCTTGCACACAGTACCTAAGTTTCCATAGTCAACTGCTTCTCCTTTTCTGTCGTCAATTTCGGTTCTTATGGCAAGGGCCCTCCCAACATACTCATTCGCTTTTAGGTTTTCGCCAAGTTTATGACACATAATTCCGAATCTTGTGCAGGCGCTTGCTTCTCCACTTTTTTCACCAGTTTGTCTCTTCCTATTAACTGCTTTTTCATAAAGTTGTTTGGCATCTGTAAACCTGTTTTGACTTTCTAAAATCTCTGCTAGAGCCATGCTTACATCTCCTTCTTTTACTAAGTCACCATTCTCGCTGTATAAGGCAAGCAGTTTCCTGCCGTATCTTTCCGCACTGATGTAGTCAGAGATACTACGATAAGCGCCGAAAAGAGCATGATAAATAGCCCTGTAAATCATTAAAAACGGTCGTGAAGTAAATTGGTGTTTGCTGTTTTGATCGGTGTTATCTAGCAAAATCAAGCATTCGTTCCATATTTCTGTGGCTTTCTGAATGCGATTTGAGTTGAGCAGGAACAGGGCAACTAGTAAGGCGATGCTCATGAAAGCTATCATGGCTTCTGCCGTTAAGTTTCCATTGCCATCCTCTCCTGTTATTAGGGAAACAATATTTTTAGTAACACAAGATAACCAAATGCTTCGATAATCTGGATTCTTAATAAGTCACTACAAACAGGAACCCATATGTGAATTACAAAAACGGGCTGAGTCGATTACACCTGGAAATTTTTGCAACGAGCTGAAAGTCTTAGAATTCATAATATCGGCATAAAACAAAAAAATAAGTGAAGAAGAGGCGTGGATAAGTGCAACTAGAGCACATCAACGGATCACATTCGGTAAAACTTTTCACATAAGTTTCACCAGCACAGTTTTTTTTGAAAACGGACTGTCAACTGTTATCCTAGTGATTTTTTATCTAGATGTTTCGTTTGTTCATCTTATGAAGTAAAAAAAAAATGACGTGCGCTTGAGTTTGACTAATGGTCGTATGTCGGGGGGTGCGTCACAAACTAGGAGGTTTTAGAAAGGTCGCGGGTTTCTTAAAAAAAAAAAAGAAAGGATTGGTAAACTTTTTACTACAACGTTCTAGAAACATTTGAAAATGTTGTTCTAACAGTGTCTCGCCGAGTAATGAGCTTACTTATCTGAAGTATATGGCTGAAAATATAGTATTGAATTTAGTTTTTGATCTCGTGACTGTGGAAACCATCAGTTTGCTTAACAATCTTAGCTAATAAAGTTGTAATGTTTTGTATAAAACCATAAATGTTCAAAGAAAGCAATTTTGCAGCGGAGATATGAAGCGTCCTTTCAACGGAAAAGTACGTTCATAATATGTATGCAATCACAGTGAATTTAAGTAAGTTTCAGTTTCTCTAAGAAAATTAAAACATCTTTCTTTGTGAGCGCTCAGCTTCATGACTTATTTTCTTATGCGAGACTCTGGCGCTTTAACAGACAAAGAAACATATTATGACCTTTAGGAAAATATTTACCGTAGAACCCACCGCTAATATCCAAAGATTTAGGTGAAGGGTATCTCGATTATGATACGCTTGTTTTCAAGTCGAATCTACCGCGATCTCCGAGCGGCAGATCGTAGCGAGGGATAGTCTACAGCATAAATAGAGATCTGATTTTATGATCATCAATTCTCAAATTAAACGATACTCAATAACCTTAGTTAATGAGGATAAATTATACGGAATAAAGCCACAGAGATTTGAAAAACTCGCCGTAGAACTGAACGAGTTTATTTCACTGCGGTGGCGATTCAATCGCGTCATCAACCGCTTTAATGAAGGTCTAACGCTCGAAACGAGACAGCTACATATTGCAAACACAAGGATCGAATAAGCAGTTACTGGGCTTTTCCATAAGAGCCTTACCTCTCTACAGTTACTGAATAACGATAGCTGATAAAACACGAGTGACTAGAAAAGATTTTCAATCGCACTTACCAAGATGTTGACAATGTGGCTGATGCTTTGAAAATGAAACAACAAAAATAGCGAATTACAGTCGGGACTTTTCTCTACCATTCGAACTTCCGCTGTCTCAGTGTTTTGGGTATCCAGATCAATTGTGTTTGAGATTATTCTCTTCCCCCCTCTGGGCTAATCGAAATAAAAGGGAAAAGTTTCAATAATATAATATTTTGTGTCCTCCCGGAGGGCCTACGCCTTTCTATCGCGTCCTATTTAGGTTGAAATTTCCCACAGCTAGTGGTCACATGATAACATGCTTATTGATGTGAGTTTGGTTTGGCTCCCGCTCATTTAGCAAGGACCTCGTAGGTCATGACCCCGAGCCAAATATTAGTACCCGTCCCGTCCTGCCCTACCATTCAATCAATAAGTACACAGTATTTAGGTTTTGTACGTCACACTATTATCACTAATTATGTAATTGAATGTGAAACATGAAAATTGTTCTTTTTTATTCTTTTTTTTAATAGGGAACGTCGGGCTTCAGTGTTTACCCCTTTGAAAGGTTTGATTTTCATCACAAGATCGATCACAATAAAACCTTAGTTTCTTTCTTTAACTCTTCACGATCAACGTTATTTTGCCCAGGTGCTCCGTGTTTATCTGGGACTTAGAGAGAACATTTTCTTACAGCTTGGAATCGCCATCACTGCCTCTATAAGTTTATTTACAGTTTTGTCGAATATCTAGGCAAACTTAGCAGTCAAGAAAACAAGAGAGTTCCGAACAAACTCTAGCATTCTGATCATTAGTTTGACCGCCTCTGATCTCTTACTGGGTGTTTCCTCCCCGTTTTATATCATTGTACATGCGATAATTCCTAACGGAATGAACATCGGATGACATAATCTACAAGATAGCGTTACCATTACTAAATTTGTAAAGAACACTTCCTATTATCATGTAAATTCTGCTCAGTTGGGTGAGATATGTTGCGATTGTAAAACCTATGAAGTACAAGGCTGTAGTTACAAATAAACGCTTGAAGCTGAGGTTCGCAGTAATCGTTTGGATAACAGCCCTCACGATATCGTTCTTGTTTTTCTCTTTAGAAGCCGTTGGTCTTCTCAATAAAGTCACTCTTGTCATTTTTCAGTTTCTCACCTTTACCCTATTGTTGTATTGTTATGGCGTTGTTTACATCGAAATACGAAAACGGAACCACATCCAATTCAGCGAAGTCATTTTCTAATCAAATCGAGGGCTGAAAGTAGAATTGTGTCCACGGCGTTTCTGCTGACAATTGCACTTTTTATTTCTATCGTTCCTAAAACCTTAGTTTCTTTCTTTAACTCTTCACGATCAACGTTATTTTGCCCAGGTGCTCCGTGTTTATCTGGGACTTAGAGAGAACATTTCTATCGTTCCTATAAGCATTGCATACGTTTAAGCGCTACCTTCGACTTTTTTTCTTGTAAATTCAGTTTTGCGATGGGCAGAAATTTTTTCTGGTTAAACTGCTTCGTGAATCCTGCACTGTATTTCTATAGGAACAAACGATATAGGAAGGCTGCACCAAGACTCTTCAAATTTAGAAAGCCTTGAGAAATTCGGCCAGCGGTTCAAATAGGTCGTCGTAAAACGCGGCACCGCGATTCCTTTACGTCTGTAAATGTTAAAAAGCTTATTCACACCGGGAGAGTTCAACACTTCACACGTTCTCACTCGGGCAATGGACACACACATGAACCCTGGAGTACTGATCATGCCTGGAGAACCTAGTGTTGCAGTTAAGGAAAAACCTAATGTCATGTCCACTCTTATTTCACTATAAAACCATCGTGAAGTGTTTCTTCCTTTTACTCGAGCTATAATGTTGCAGATTTAAACTTGCAAAAGAAAGAAATCAGCTCGAGATCAAATTCTTGTGGTGAATACGCATTTTTTGTACCTAAAAACACTCGTTACAGTTTAGGGGACTTTGATTCCCAGAGCAGCAATTCAGCGCCAAAAGTTCTAGCGATCGATGCTGCTAATGAATAGAAATGTGATTAAGTCAGCCCTTTGACCCCAAAGAGTGATTAGCATCTAATTTCTCCTCACAATATCCCCCCTGAATCAACATTAAGGTCGTGAGAATACAGTAAATGATCGCCTACTGAAGAGGTTCTTGATTGATCAACAAATTCTCCTTGTCGGCACCTAACTGAAATGTATGGAGAACAGTATGGAGAATATGCATACTGATGTTAGGGGGTAAAGTGTTAACAGATAGCATTTTGATTGAGTGTCGTGGAGTCAGAACTTTAACTTTCGCAGCACCGAGCCAATTAGAACATAGAGAATTTACATAAATAGCCAATAACATCTCAAATCATAACCATTACAATTTCCTCAAATGTGATTGGTGCGCTAGCTGATTTATTTTTCACTAATTATTCTGTACAGTTGTAATCGGACAATGTAATCGGACAGTTGGCTGTAATCGGACACCTTTAATCGGACAGTTGAAGCAGCAAATCATTTAAGTCCACTCAGCTAAATCCACCAATCACAGAATTGATCTCAATAACCATAGCAACGATCACTCATTCTGAAAAAAAAAAAATTTAAAATGGAGGCATTTTTTTACTTAAAACATTGTCTCTATCGGAGATGTTTGTCTTAAATGTATTTTTTTCCCGGAAATTGTACCTGTTATGATTAATTGGTATCAGGACTTCGTGTCGTCCAATTCTGTCAGTAATCATACTTGTGATTGACTAGTCGGACTTCCGCTGTGCGGTCGTCCGATTTTATTTATCACACATATGATTACAGACCGAATCGGACAAAACGAAGTCCTGTTACGGCATTATAGAGGGGAATCGAAACAAGCACAATAGTTAAAGCGCGGGAAAAATGCGAAATAATTCTCCTTAACTAAACACCAAAGTTAACTTCTTAAACTTACATTTTATAAAAAAACTACGTTGAAACCTTAAAACACGGGCGAGTTATAGCGAAAAATGTTTCTCCACTGATTCCGTCATATTGAAAAATCTTGGTGCTTGGTATTTGCTGCACAACACACCCATTAACTTTCAAATCGCGTGAAAACCCTTCGTAAAAAAAAAAAGTCGATCTCGATGTGATGGCGGATGCAGCCGATTTGCGACCAGTATTTAAATATCGCTATCACTGGACTTTACAAAACGTACTACTCTTTCTTCCGTGTTTAATTGTAGAGATGAAAAGATGAAACTTTTGAGCTGGCTTTATTACGAAGGCTTTGTTTTTCTTCAAGGGAAATATCGGAGGACAAATATCGAAGCAGGTGGGAGTTATTAAAAAAAAAGATGAAACAAAAAACTCTTCATCAATTTCTCATCGTTGTCTATGTACAAGGACATCTCTCTGAAGACTTCCCGCTTTACATCTGTGATTTTCGTCAATGGGAATTAGGTTCTTTGAAAATTAATATATAGATAAATATAATAATAAATATATAGCTAGCTTTCGAGTCCTTCAACCTCATATTGGAAAGTAAACCGAACCATGACTAATGTTTGTTAACATGAATGCGAGTATCTCTCTCTCACTAGATTATCAAGTTAGTATTCGGTGCATTTATAGAATTCTACTTTATTGCATTACATTATGCGCGAGTAACTTGGAAAAGATTTCTGTCAAATTGTGAAACCAAACGCTTCTTCCAGTTAGTATCTCGCAAACTAAGAGGATTCTCTTGTAGTCGATTGGTACGTTAATTAATTTCTCGTTTACTTTTAGGATATTTTCTTTTTTTTCACTTGATTTTAAAATATTAATGAGAATCAATGATTTTTAAGTCTGCCGGTCACATTTACCACTGGAAAACGTTCAGGTGAAACCCTTGATAAGCTGACGTAACGCCAAAGTTCAAGTCACGCAGCTGGTCATATATGGCGTGACGTTGAGATGGCTTACTGGCGCGCGAGCCTAGGCCGAGCAACAGAATATCGGAAGGCGCCATCTTGGGTTGTACGTTCCGTCCAAACTATTGAATAGCAATCCGTCTCCATCGGGATAGGAAAGGTGAGTTTCACCAAGTTTTCGAGATGCGAACATAGAATGATAATAGTACGAAACGTTGGCTTTGTATTTTTGCCGTTTGGTCGTTTTTATCTGCGAACTGATGGAGATGTTTATAGTCATTTTGTACTCTTGGATCGTTACTGACATTAAAAAGATAGCTCCAGCTATACAGTGCGTCTTGACGTTTAACCGTTTTTGAATATGTTATTTATTGTCTGAAACGTAAGTTTTGGAAATTATGGAGATTTATCCAACTGCTAGCGCTGAATATTGAATCCAGTGGCACTAATGATAAAGCATATAGAGTCAAATAGAGCAATCATCCTCGCAGGAATTGTGACCAGGGGGTGGGACTGATTCGAAGCTGAACATTTTCCAGTTTCTTTCTTCAGTTTCTCACCTTGTGGCTCACTTGGGAGGATCATTGCTCTACTTGATATTCATCACCAGGAATTTGAATTGATTTTTTTCTCATTAACAGCTGTGAAAGTTGATAGACCAAACAATTGTAATAGTTTATAGACTTACGAAGTCACCGCCCCCTCCAATTACATGATATTTTACGTGAGGAGGACATTTACAGTATTGTGCAAAAGTAATGCAAACACCTGTCGACAAAATTCGGCGAAATTCCTGGCTTTTCGACGAATTCTTGACCGAAACGAAACTTCGACGACATTTCCGCGAATTTTCGAGGCATGTATTGTTTTGAACGGCTCGAACTTTCGGCGACAAATTCCTTGATGGCGTAAATGCGACTCGAAATTTCGAGCGAAAATTCGTTCTATGCGGCGAATTTTCGGGGCGAAAATTCGTTGTATTGTTCATTCTTCTCAAAAAGATTTGGTTGAATTTGTGGTTGGTTACTACACTATGTAATACTCCCATAAAATTTCCCGCTACGATTCCAGTCTCCGCGCGCCCTATATTGTTTGCAACCATGGCAACACAGGTTGTTGTGTCGATGCGTTTGGGATCATTTATGTACTCTACTTTTGATAATAATCATGGCAAAAGTTTCAAATTATTCTAGAAATAGAATCGAGATCCTTCACAAGCAAGGCCTCCACCCAGCTGAAATACTAAAAGCGTTGAAACACGAAGGGTTGCTAGTGAGCTTTTCCAGTATTACGCGCATCATTAAAAAGTTGCGACTTACCGGTTCCGTGGCAAATTTACCTCGATCGGGAGGACCTCAAAAGCTGTCTACAGAAGCAAAAACTTTCGTAGATCAGCAAATGCACAGGGATGACAAGACAACCAGCAATACGATAAAGAAGAAGCTGGAGAGACATGGAATCTGCGTGAATGCGTCCACTGTTCGTAGAGCACGCAAACAGCAAGGTTGGACTTTGCAGCGGACCGCTTACTGCCAGCTAATCCGTGACGCAAATAAAGTCAAGCAATTAGAGTTCGCACAACGCGTCCTAGAAAGTGGCGACACTTTCAACAACGTGATTTTTAGCGACGAGTGTTCGATTTCCCTTCAGGCGTATCGCGGCACTTGCTTTAGAATGGCAAATGAGCCCACAAAGCGAAAGCTGAAACCTAAGCACCCACTCAAAGTGCATGTCTGGGGAGGGACTAGCAGAAGTGGTGCCACGAAGATTTGTATCTTTGATGGCATCATGGACGCTGATTTGTTTTTCAGCATTTTAGAGACGACGCTGGTTCCTTTTATCATGTCAGAATTTACGAAAAAATAGAGCAATGTGACTAAACTAATTGTTGTTTTCAGTCGTCGCCAATTGGTATTCAGTGTTTTGTTGTGAAGAATAAATATTTCCGAACAAACATGGTGTTGTGATATCTGGAAAGCATGCTGCAATCAGCGATATGGGTGATGTCTATTTGCGCAGGGATCGAAAAATTGAGAGTTTATTTCCATTAAAATACATGTCTCTTGGTCGGAATTGCTATTCATCCTGATTTACTTTCATTGTTGTAAACTGATTGAACTCTGAATTGGATATGATGGTTTAGGCCTCTTTAAACGTCAGGAAACTGAAGTTGATGTGACGCTTGGGACAATTTTTCCGATTTACTTTTGTTGTCAAACACAAATTGAGCCCAGAATCGGGCGTGATGCTTTTCTATATTTTGACCTTTTGTCTACTGTGTTTAGCCTAAAATATGAAGTGTCTCCGTCCCAGTGACTGAAAAAGACTGGAAATACGTTTATATGTATATGTGACCCTCCACGGGAAAACGGACACTAACGCTTTTCCGTTTAAGCTGCAAAACCGTTTACTATCCGTTTATATCCGTTTAAACGGTTCATGAAAGCGTTTAAATGGTTTGCTTATCCGTTTAAAAAAATTTGCATCCGTTTAATGCTTTAGCTAAAACGTTTAAGCGGTTTGCTCATCCGTTTAAAAAAATTTGCATCCGTTTAACGCTTTTGCCAAAACGTTTAAGCGGTTTGCTCATCCGTTTAAAAAAATTTGCATCCGTTTAAAAAAATTTGCATCCGTTCGACGCTCTAGCAAAAACATTTAAACGGTTTGCTTACCCGTTTAAAAAAAAAGCTATCCGTTTAAAGTTCCACGGAAAGCTTTGGACTGTTTGCCTATCATTCTGTAATAGGCAGTTCGAAGTATCAATCTTACGTTCGCTCGATACTCGCCGGTTCTTGAAATACAGAAAGACTGTATCTTATTTTGGTTTTATCTATTGCGTGATCATAGTAAGCGAGTTCCGTCGCATCCTTTGACAAACAAGTTAAATCGGCTACTCTCTTTTTGTTTATATCATCTTGATTCATCATTCTTGGTTTTATTGACAATCATTTTAACGGCCCCGCTTGGTGCGTGACACCGATTCGACCTTTTATTTGCAATGGAACTTCATTGCGTTATTTGACCTTGAAAGGTCTCGGCTTCAGACAAGGTGGCGGCATTGCATATGCAAATTTGTTTCGCGAAACTTCCGAACAGGAAGAAATGAAGTTCATTTTCAATACTAATAAGAATAAACAAAGGAGAAGATTATGAGTTTCTCGCGGTAGCCGTTCAGGATATTCGGCAGCGAAACTATTCTCAGTAAATTGCGCTTATTTCATGAATGTCACACGAAAGCGGCTGTAATTAACCCAGAAATAAAATGCGCAAGTATATGCTAGTTATTACTTTTCAAATTATCATGCTAAATATTTTCGCTTTAAAGGATAATTATCCGTTGTCACTCTGAAAGTTTTTCCGCAGAAGATCTCGCCGGCTCAACCACAGCCGTTAAACATTAATTTTAAGCTCATCGTTTGTCGATTTTGGTCAACCGTTTCTCGGTTTAAGCCATCCGTTTTTGGACTTTGGTCAACTGTTTAACGTTTCGGGCTGACCGTTTTTATTTTTGGTCAACCGTTTAAAAGTGTGAGCCATCCGTTTTTGAACTTTGGTCAACCGTTTAACGTTTCGTGCTATCCGTTTTTATTTTTGGTCAACCGTTTGAAGGCCTAAGCTATCCGTTTTTGGACTTTGGTCAACCGTTTAAATTTTTTGCCATCCGTTTAAGCGGTTATGGCATCCGTTTAAACGCTCGAGTTAACCGTTTACTATCCGTTTACAACCGTTTTTCGAGACCGTTTAACGGAAAAGCGTTAGTGTCCGTTTTCCCGTGGAGGGTCACATATTTCGTGTTGCTTACATGAGTAGTAAACAAACTTGAATACTCGCGAAAGTCTATTGTCAGTTTGAAGCGAAATTTCAAACACTAATGATCGAAGAGATACTTTCCGCTGCGAAGTTTCGCTTTGAGGCGAAAATTCAACGAAAAAGCGCCCTTTGTTCAAACAAAATGTCGCTTCAGAGGCCTTGAACTTTCGATCGAATTTTTGCCCGAACTTTCAACGAAAGATCGTTAGAACAAATAACGAAATTCGCCGAATTCCATTTGCATTACTTTTGCACAATACTGTAGAGATGGACGTCTGAAATGGCCGTCAATTTTCAGGGAACCAAATACAATACATTTAGTTAACTTTCTCTGTTAGCTGTAAATATAAACTCCAAATGATATTAAACTTCTCTTTACAGGCAATCATGACTGACTCCAAATACTTTACAACAACCAAGAAAGGTTAGTGGATTTCTACTACAGCTGATACAAATTGTCCCAGTGGAGAGCTCATTTTCTTTGCATTTCATAAAATCTCGAGTAGATCTGCAGATGGATGTTTTTTTTTATTCAGTGAGCTTGAAGTGATGGTAGCTATACCTGATAGGAATTATGGCATGTCATCTTGGTGGAAAATTTTCCCTAGTTTTCAAACCTTAGAGCTGGAATTGTTTTCTTTCATACTTTTTGATGCCAGAGTATGGTGTATTTTTTCAGGGGAGATCTTTGAGCTCAAGGCAGAGCTGAACAGTGATAAGAAAGATCGCAAGAAAGAAGCAGTAAAAAAAGTTATTGCTAGCATGACTGTTGGGAAGGATGTCAGGTAAGAGAGGCCTGATAAAAAAACATTGATGGGATGCTTTCTTTTCCCCTCCTTAGTTGTTTTGCATTTGCTTGATGTTGATGTTACATTTTTAGTGTGAGCCTGTTGGTTTCTGGATTCCTCTTTGCAGTGTCTATATTGTTATAATTGTTACTACATGTACTGAGTTGTATTCTTTGGCAAATTTAATGAATGTACAGGTTAGTATTCATGTTAAGTTGTTGAAACAAGGGGACTTTTTTTCCTGGCACCTGCAACTTTGTCTGGCAGACCTTCTAATGTCTTTTAACACTGAAGGGGTTCAGATTTATTTTGGGCCACCTCTGAAACAGACCATGTCAGTTGTGGACAACTCGAAATTGAATTTGAGGCCTAGATAATATAATTATGTAGATTAAATGACAAAAATTAACCTATATCAACAAATCATACAGCTTAACCACAACTTACAGTTCCACTAAAACTAAGTTAACAGTCCCTCGATACTCAATATTCAATAATCAATACTCAATACTCAATTCGCAATCATCAATTTTTAGAACTTTGAAGATTGGGGCTCAAGTCAAGTTTTGAGATGTTCTTGTTGAGTTGCAAGACCCTCAAAGCAACAAAACAAATTTTCTCACAACTTGAAACTTTTTAAACCTTGTCTTATTCACAAGAGAAAAATCCTTATAGCATTAAATCATTGGAGAGTTCTCTGAAGGTCTCAATTCTTAAAACTTGAGCCTCCTTTCTTATTTCTTGACTTGAAAGTGTTGATGACTAACGAGTGAGTTTCAAGTCAAGACTGTCTAGTCAAGACTTACTTTTGAGCAGTACTGAGTATGGTTTGTACCACAAAATAGAGGTTTTGATTTGTGATGTTATGTTTCAGCTCCTTGTTCCCAGATGTGGTGAACTGTATGCAAACTGACAACTTGGAGTTAAAAAAGCTGGTGTACCTTTACCTTATGAACTATGCTAAGTCTCAGCCCGATATGGCAATCATGGCTGTCAATACTTTTGTTAAGGTCAGAATTACTGCAAGTCCACTTCCTGTGGGATCCACTGAGTGACAAAAGAGGAATACATCCTCCATCAGCCAAAAATGAATTATAAGGATGTTGTATTTATTTGTCAATGCGAAAACAAAAGTGCATGCAGATTTTTTTAATAACTGAATTGTGGAAGAGGCTGGTACATGCATAAGCTATAATCAAATTGTCAGAGATAACACAAGTATGTACTTGTGAGTGGAGTGCTAGCAACTTTTTGTTACTTTTATTGTTATTGTTGTTATAATTATTCTTATTCTCATTATCATTCCACTTGCCATCAAGATTAATGATGAATATTCATAGTAGGACCAAGCTATTACTAATAAAATCTAGCGAAGGTGCTCCAAGGTAGCATACCTTGTGTAAACGTGTTTAGGAAAGCATTGTTTTTTTTCTTTTTCCACCTAGGACTGTGAAGACCCAAACCCACTTATTCGGGCTTTAGCTGTTCGCACTATGGGCTGTATCCGCGTTGACAAGATCACAGAATACTTGTGTGAACCCCTCCGCAAGTGCTTGAAGGATGAAGATCCCTATGTTCGCAAGACTGCTGCAGTTTGTGTAGCCAAGCTTCATGACATCAACTCTCAACTAGTGGAAGATCAAGGCTTTCTTGATTCCTTGAAGGATCTTCTGTCAGATTCTAATCCCATGGTGAGATACAGGTCTTTATTTTTGAAAGTATTGTAACCCTCAAGTTCCACTGTCTGGGTCAGGGCATCCCAAAGTGCCAAATTCATGTGAACAAACCGGACATAAAAAGGGGCCCCTAGATAGTATTTCAAGTTCCCTCTTATTTTTCTAAATTTTCAATTATAGCTTGTATATCAACTGTGAGATGCATATTGTTGTGTAAATAAACAGAAAAAACTTAAACCTTGTTCTATCGTATTTATTAAACAGAAGAATGAATCAACATACATGTTAAATGAGGTGCATATCTTTGTTGTATACATCTAATGACATTGAAAAACATTAGCAAGATGATGAATTTTTTAGCTGTTCAGCTGTGGAGATCACCTGGTCAATATGACCAGACCTCAGTTTCAGATTTTCCTGTAACTTTTTCATGTTTGATTTTAAGTTGGCATGATAGCTCATTTAACAGCTATGACTTGTTGTAGGTTGTGGCTAATGCTGTGGCTGCCTTATCTGAGATTGGGGATGTTTCACCAACTGCTGCTGCCATGATGGAAATTAATTCTCAAACCATCAACAAACTGCTCACAGCACTCAATGAATGCACAGAGTAAGTAAAACATATAAAATAACAAAATTACATGCAATGATCTCAAAAGGCAGGGCGTGAAATTGATTTTTTTTTCTTATAGCCACTTGGCTCCTAAATTATTCAAAGTGGTAGCCAATTCAAAAAAGTTGGTCGCCATTTTCAAAGACAAACAAACCCTTTTTTTTACGCTGTCATCGTTCTAGAAATTAAGTTAGGGAAAAGATCTTTAATGTACTACAAAGTCGACAATAGAATGGATGATATGCAACATTCAAGCTCACCTAAATCCATCCTAAATCTAGTTATCGATTGAGATGCATGTGCTGCGTTTTGGAAACAAACTTAATGAGGAAGTTTGCTGCGGATTTATCTTTGCAAATCTTTTTAATTTACTATATTTCTAAGTAAGGTTATGATGAAACATTCTAGTCGCCAATTTGGCGACTAATTTTCAGGATTTGGTCGCCAAAGTAAAAAAATTTAGTCGCATTGGCGCCTGTATTAGGCGCAATTTCACGCCCTGAAAGGTGATCTGGGTATTCAGTATTCAATGAGTTGTAATAGAAAATAGATGGATAAATTAATAAAACCTTCAATGCCTCATCCTTGCTACGACTCTTTCTCTGTTTTCCCTGTAATCCTGAGGTCAAGGAAACATGACATGAAAACTACCCTCAACAATAACTCTAGGGATTTTTTGTGTGAATTTATGTAATTTTTTGACAATTTTACTCAAAACAGCTGTATGTTACTAAACCAAAGATTTCCAGCATGAGGATCATTCAATTGGTTTGACTTAAATGCTTGGAGGTTAGCCATTGAAATTAATTTTGGTTATTTTAATTTGTTTTTGTCTATTTTAATTTGTTTCTAGGTGGGGACAGATATTTATCCTTGACTCTTTGGCACAGTACACTCCTAAAGATGACAGGGAGGCTCAGAGGTGACAAATTTCTTTAAGGCTTAAATAATAGCAAGGTTAACTCATAATTTAAAATGTTCTGTACTTTAACTTTAATTTTGATAGAAATTCCAAATTAATTACATTGAACAAGTCAATTCAATCAATTTCAGGACAGCTTAAAACAGAATACAAGATTCCTTAAAATAAGCTGCCTTGATTATTTACCTAGTCAAAATTAATGTTAAAAATACTCTTAATTCATAAAAAAAATAAGTTAAATATGATAAAAAATTGGCACTGAACTTTAAAATAATTTAGCAATTTCTTTCAATGAAAAATTGGTACTGATGTTGGTACTTATATTAAGCTTTATAATTCTCTGTTTTTTCTGCAGCATTTGTGAGCGAGTCACCCCCAGGTTGTCTCATGCCAATGCTGCTGTGGTTCTGTCTGCTGTCAAGGTACAGTTTAATGAATATGTCTGCTCCAAGAGTACACTGTAGCTGTATTTGCATATATTGTTGGAGTCCTGTGTTTGTCACAACCCACCAAAACGTTCCTCTTTCCCTAACTGGTTGTAACAGATTATGCTGGCATAAATTTTTTTTGTGTAAGGGTAGATTTGAGACATCGGCATACTGCTGGTAGAATCATCTTTTTTACATGCAACACTGCCTGAAACCATGACACTGATTTTTTTTAAGTATAATATGTCAGACCCTTGTTAAACTTGTTTCTTTATCACTCATTAATTAAGTGCACAGTTTGTGGGTAGCACAGATACTATCCCTATAAAGACCTGAACTCTTTGATCAGGTTTCAATTTTTCTTACTGCAGCTTCTCTTTAGAGAAAAATCTGTTACTTTCTTAGATAATAATGGAGCTGCATTGTAAATGGGGTCTGTAGCTCACTGTTGTGGCTACCTACAATCCCTCATTTTTGCATTGAAAAACAGAAGTTGCTTTGTTTATTTACACCAATTGATATTCTTGTCTTCATGTTGTTTGAAGGAAGACCTACCTTTTGCTGATATTTTATTAAATATCTACAGGTTCTTATGAAATACATGGAAATTATGACTCCCTCATCATCATATGTGCAGAATCTTGTTAAAAAACTGTCTCCACCCCTGGGTAGGTTAAAACTTCATTTTGTGGTTTGAAGTGAACACTCTAACAGTTGCTCAACAGTTTTGTCCAGTATTACACATGCATCTGTACGCCATGTGCCAAGTGCAAGACCTGTGGATGTTCCTTTTGATTAAAGCTTCAGAACTGTCCAGTGATATATACTCAAAATTTTAATGTTCATTGTTTCTCTTCAGTGACATTGTTGTCCAGTGAACCTGAAGTCCAGTACGTTGCTCTTAGGAATATCAATTTGATTGTGCAAAAGAGGTAACTGTCAAATGATAACTCATTTCATTATGAGTCAGTTGCATGCATGGTGCTTAAAATGACTTACATTAAAATGAAGTTCTATGTATCATTTTACAGAAGATCAAATTACTATTTTCATTAAATTCTTCAACATGCAATGACAAATTTCATGACTGGTCTGTAGTGTAATTACAGATGTAGCACTACATGTACCTAAATATTGTTAATTGGAATTACATGTACAGCATTTCTGACCAGTGAATGTTGTTTTATTGTGTAGGGCAGATATCTTGAAGAATGAGATGAAAGTCTTCTTTGTCAAGTACAATGACCCAATTTATGTAAAACTTGAAAAACTGGATATTATGATTCGGCTGTCAAATCAACAGAACATCGCCCAAGTCTTGGCAGAGTTGAAAGAGTAAGTTGTCTTCCTGGAGCTCAGCCTAATGTGGCCTTTTTCTATCATAGTAAAGTTTGATTTCAAGTATCAAGTAATTTTCTTCAATGTATATTGCACAAACATGTATATGTCACAAATTTCAAAAGAATTCCAGGTATAAAAATGATCACAGAACATGTTTTTAAACTTCTGTAAATGGAAAGAGCTTAAACCATGTTCAATGTTTCCAAAGAGTAGAGCCATCTACACATTGGCTATGTCTCATTTTTCACTTCTAGAACTGGAATTCTGTTGCTCTCTGGTAATTTTCTATACAGTAAAAGGTTTAGATTGTAATACTTTGGTGTGGATTTCATTGACCACATGGGCATAAATCATTTACCTGTGGTCCATACACAGTCTCCTATGTATTTTATACATGTACAGAGTAGATTGGACAACTTCTATGCCCAGTTACCCTTGTGAAAGTAAGAGAGACTTAAAAATTAATGCACATTCATGCCAAGGAAATACATACTGTCAAAGTACAAAATATATCACAATGTTAGAAATCTTCCTCAAGATTCAATTAAAAGCTTTTTCCATTGTGTGTGTGGAACTTTAGATGGTCAATAGTCTTTGCACTGTGGTAATATCCATTGTCATTTTTATTATATTCTTACCATATAACAATGTATAAATTTTTCAATTTCAGGTATGCCACAGAAGTTGATGTTGATTTTGTGAGGAAATCAGTACGTGCAATTGGACGCTGCGCCATCAAAGTTGAGGTTTGTTGTAAACTAGTCACTTAATGGTCAACATTCAAAGTGTTTAGGCTGGAGCCATGAAAACTGGGACAGCTCCATGTCCAGGTAAACTCCTCTGGAAAATTATTGTCAAAGGACAAATTTGTCTCTTTTTTAGTGTGACTTTATAGACTCCCATTGCCAACTAATAAACTTTGGTTTAACATGTACGTATTACAGTTTAAAAGGGCCATACGATGAATGTTTAACTTTGGATGAAATTTTTGTTTGTCAATATTAATATAATATTATTTCATTCCAAAAGTTTACTATTTGGCTTGACTTGATTTAGTTGAGTTAGTTTTTGTGGCTCACTATCTAAACATATTAAATGTTGGTAACTACATTTTGAGGTGCACCGTTCATGCAGACACACAATAACTTACATACACATGGGAAACACTCTCATTGCCCCTGCTCTGCAATGAGATTCCTAAAAAAAGTACAATGAAATGAAAGGTTCATTGACTAAAGAAACCCATACTGTGTGCAATGTACTTAATTTCATTGAAACTGGGCAACAGTTCAGAAGAAGGTATTGATCATTGGAGCTTCCTACATTTAGTTGTCTGATTTTGTGAATCATATGATTACAGACCAAATTGGATTCACTCAGTCCTAATATATCCTAGTTGGTCCTATGGTGCATTCACTTTACATGTACTATGTCTTAAACTCTGAGGTGACTGAAGTTGGAAGGTTGCATATTTAAGTCTGAATGATATTTCACCAAAGAATCAATGGGAAAAGTGTTTTTCAAAAACAGTGGAGAGAACTGGATGCCCTTGGCAGTGTCTTCCTGAACAGGGGTCTTAAGGGTGAATGCTGCTACAACTATAACATAAACAAAGGAGGTGGTATTCTGTGCTAACCTTACTCCTAAAGGCAGATGGTCATGGATGATTTTCTTGGGAAGATGATATGCTGTGTTGTATATAAAAAGTTTAAAAAACATATACCAGTATGTAAAACTGTTAATGTGCCTCTATGTGTAAAATATATCTTATTTGTTAATAGATGATCTCTTTTATAGCAATCTGCAGAACGCTGTGTGAGCACTCTTCTGGACTTGATTCAAACCAAGGTTAACTATGTGGTACAAGAAGCGATTGTGGTTATCAAGGTGACATAGTTACTTCAGCCTCTTCTTCTCAGCACAGAATTGATAGAAGTTTTCAAGGAAACATTTACCCTTCCAACAGCATCATGGTGCTTAGATAGCAGTTCCTCACTGTACTCCCCCAAAGCTGCAATTAATCATAGTACCCCAAATTTACCACACAGAGGCAGCAGAGTGCTTTGAAGTGTGTGTTGGGAGGGGGGGGGGAGAGGGGAGGGGTGGCTATCTTATGTACTAAGCTAAGTACACACCCTTAACTCAAATTTTGCAAAAAATTTCTTTTTAATGTTGGCCTCTTAAATGCAGGCTGGCAGTGTTTAAATGAAAAAAATCCTACTACATTGAGTTTCACCAAGCATGCAACTTATGAAAAAATGAAAGACAAATTCCTTATTTTAGGTTTTTGGCCTTTTTTGGATGGTGTTTGTGACCTTTGGTGTTTCTGATGTTCTTGTGTATATGTTTATGTTTATGTTTTACCTTTGCTGTTTAAAATTAGGACATATTCAGGAGATACCCAAACAAGTATGAAAGTATAATCTCCACCTTGTGTGAAAATCTGGATTCATTAGATGAACCTGAGGCGAGGTGAATATATCTGGGCTAGTGCCTTTGGTCATTTTTCTTCAAGATGAAGATGTTCTTGATAGTGAAATTTTTCAAACTGTTGAATTTACGTTCGCATGTACGTGTACATGCCAAACTTCCAGCTTACTCAACAAATCTTTCTGTTTCCCTTGTTGTTTTGTAAATATTTCCAATAAAAGTAAAAAAGAGGGCAGTAGAAGCAGTTTTTGTCTCACCTGGGAAATTAATTGAGTTCTCTTTTAAACATAGTTTTATAGCTGTGAACTTGTTTCTTTGGATCGTGGAAGTATTTGCTCCTTTTTATTTGGTGACTTTCAGTTTAACATCTCCAGATTTTAGTAAGTACTTACTTACACTGATTTTAATGATTCATAGGGCATCGATGATTTGGATCATTGGTGAATATGCTGAGCGAATTGACAATGCTGCAGAGCTATTGGAGTCCTTCCTGGAAGGTTTCCAAGATGAAAATTCTCAGGTGCACATTTTTATAAAAAGCGTGTGAGACATTTTTTTTCAAATTATGACATTGATTATTGATTTAGTGTCAAAGACGTAATCCTATAATATCATTACTCCTCTTGCATAAGGTTCAACTGCAGCTGCTGACATCCATTGTGAAGCTGTTCTTGAAGCGTCCAACTGACACTCAGGAGCTAGTGCAACAGGTCTTGAGTCTGGCAACACAGGATAGTGATAACCCAGATCTCAGGGACAGGGGCTACATCTACTGGCGGCTTCTTTCAACTGACCCTGTGGCAGCAAAGGTGCGATAATTAGGTTCTCTATTCCCAACATAAATTAAGTATCCCTCTTTCATGAAATCAGTTTCTGAACACAGTAGTCCATTCTGGTTTTCATGGCAGGAAGAAATTATGAGTATTGCTGGTCTAGCTAGATTGGACGCCAATCCATCATAGGTTACTTCCCAGCTTTCACTGCATCAGTGGGAGAGGAAAATGTTTTGTTGGACTCTGTGACCCCTAAGAGTGACTAGCATGTAATTTTTCACTAAACATCAGTGTTGAGTCACACATTAAGGTCACAAGAATAAAGGAAATGACCACCAACTAAAGAAGTTCTTGATAATTAAACAAATTCTCCTTATCAGCACTTCAGGAAATTTATAGAGAACATTATTGAGAACATGCATATTGATGTCTGGCAGTGAAGGGTTGAGCATAATTATATCCTTATGGTTTGGCTGGAATTGGAACATGGACCTCTAAATGAGGGGTTCAGCATGTTAACTACAAGGCCACTGTTTCTCAAACTCTTGTCCATAACATGACACAATTTGACAATATCATTTTTCCTCCTTGATGCTGCAGAAATCAACATTCATTTTTTGGAATTCCCACCAGTACTTGTGGAATTTTTTTGAATGTGTCTAAAACAGGAATTGTGTAGTTATCAAGACTCTTGTAAGAAATGCTGTACATTTATGGTAAACAGTGTTTTATTGGATTTTCCATAGGAAGTTGTGCTGGCCGAGAAGCCCCTGATATCTGAAGAAACTGACCTCCTAGAACCCACTCTCCTTGATGAACTGATCTGCAACATTTCCACATTGGCATCTGTGTATCACAAGCCACCCAGCTCATTTGTTGAAGGGCGCACTGCTGCAAGGAGATTCACCTTGCCACCGAGGGCTGAGCCATCTCCAGGTACTGTGCTTAACTTTCCAGATAACGTACCTTTTTAATAATCTAGTTTACCCTCATTGCCCCTCTCTTTAACAATGTGATGCTCTGGTGCCCTTGTGATGGAGAAAAATTAACTTCAACCCAGGTTGCCCCTTGCAGGAATTTCTAAAATAGTTGCTGGGTAAGCTGTTCAGTCAACATGATGTGGTCAAGATTGCTGTTAGTTAAGTTGTTTGCTCAGTTTGGGCATGAAGAGAATTCTAACATGTGTCATAGCAATAGCCTTACAAGATTCTGACTATCTTGACTAGGGGCTGAGACTGAGGAAGCTACCCCTGCTCCATCCCAACCAGTTGCAGCTCCAGTAACTGCTTCAGTGGCAGCCCATGCACCGCCATCTCAACCAGCAGCTGACTCCTTACTTGGTGACCTGTTGATGGACATGGGACCCACTCAACCTGCTGCCCCACCTGTGCAGCCAGCAGCAGGTATGCAGATATTATGTCACCTGTCATTTCTCAGTGATGTCTTCTCACCTAGTATGGTAAACAGAAAAATGCAGAGAGTTACTCATTAACGTGCTAAGCACTTGTCATTCATTCCTCCAGTTTATTACTCCAATTTATTGCTTCAAATACTTCTACTAAGCTTGTAGGTGTGGTTTGCTTAAATTATTGGTGCATTGACATTTAAACGCTGTATTAATGTCACAGAAACTAAGACAAGCTCAGGTGGCGTGTACTAGGTTCGTGTGCAGACTTGGCCTATGTATAGTAATCAACCCACAAGTAAAGTAATCATTTTTGTCCTTTGATTCAGCGGCAGGGGGAGGAGGAGTTATGGATCTTCTGGGAGAAGACCTAAGTGGTTTACAGGTAAAAAGTCTCTTTCTACATGTTTTTAAAACGTAGCTGAAATTACTGAGAGGCAGTTAAAATTATGTGATGTTGCACCTAGAGCAAAAGCTGTACTTTAAAGAGACAGGATACTAGAAGATCGCTTTCTTGAAAACAACCATCTTTAGACTACTAAAAATGTCAAAGGTTTAGAACTGAGATCTTTTGCATCGGCAGCATGGCTCTCCTTGGAGTCAAGGATCGCTTCTCGTCTGTCTTGTCCACTCCCTTAATTACATCTTCTGACAATACCAGTGCACTTTTAAACAGTGTTGGGAGGAAAATGGAGAAAATTATTTACTTGGTGATATTAGAATACGAACGAGTTGGCAGTAATCAGGTCCTTTGCGGGTTTGCGCAAAGATTTCGCCCCGTGGCGATCTCAGAAATCTATGCATAAACGTAAGGATCCGATCACTGGCAACTCATTCATTGCCAGGATTGTATTAAGTAATTTAGTCATACATCATCCGTTACCATGCATTTTTAATAGCATAACTTCATACTTCAGTACATGTGTTGATTGCCTCTATTAAATTTTAGTTCATAATCTACTGTGACCAACTTGTCCGCCACATTGGCGTAACAGTTTCTCAAGGAATTGATGACTTTGCTTATTGAATTCTCTCTCAGCTTGGTGGAGCTCCAAGTCCTGCTCAGCCAATGGGAGGGCCGATGGGGGGCTTGGGCGATCTTTTCAGTCTGTCTGGGGGACCTGGTATCTCAGGAGGAATGTACTCTGCGCCTAAACAGGTTAGGGACAACTTCTTTCGCTTAATTTACTCCGCTAGAACTTAGAAGCACGACATAATGGCATGCCTAGCTCGTGTATGCAAAGAGACCAAGTGGATACCTAATACTCTGCCTAATACTCTGAGCTAATGCAATTTTCATGGAAATTTCAAATCGGTAACTAAGAGTGTAATGTTGAGTGATAATTTAAACGTTAGAATGGCTGAAATCGTAGTGTTTTGAACCTCGTCGATTCACTAAGTGAACCATTCCCGTCACAATCCTCTGAGATGCATTGAGCTCCCTAAGAAACATTCTCGACAGAGCACTGAGCCTGTGTAGCTGACTCTTTGCTGGGAGGTTGTAGCGATGGAGCCGTGAGAGGAGTGGGAATGAGAAGTTTCAGCCTCACGATTTCAGACTAAATTGCATATATTAAATTTTATAGATTAGTGAAGATGGTTTTGGAAACTCTGCATACCCTATGAATCGCTTTGCCGCGTATAGTGGGAAGAGATTTAAGAGTCATCTCTTTTAAGATAGGCACTGATTGTTTGTAAAGCTAAAAGCTTAGCTAAAACTACGGTTCTGCTAATTGACTGTTACTGACAACAATTTTTTTCGGGACTATCCCCACCTGGCCGATCACACCACAACGGATTGTTCCTCCGGTGTTAAAAGTAGTTACTGTACGAATATGAGTTACAACATGTATTTTTTTGTTGTAGTTTCACTGTGACATTGTTGAACTGACACGTGTTTCAATTTTGTTTTGTAGATGTGGCTCACTGCTGCCAAAGGGAAAGGAGTTGAGGTTTTAGGTATAATTGTTAGAATTATTAATTTAACTAGCTCTGCAGCTCTTGTAGTAACCATCGCAATGAAGTCTGTTATTTTACTGATTTCTCGTGGTAAACAAGAAGTCGTTTTTCTTGAACAGGAACATTTTCTCGACGTCAAGGACAGATTTACATGGATATGACATTCCACAACAAAGCCATGCAAGCCATGGGAGACTTTGCAATCCAGTTCAATAAGAACAGGTGGGTAGCAATTATTTTTAGTTAAGAATGAAGCGCATCGAAAAAGTGACTTGTATGAGAGCCAGGTCCTTTATTCCACGCTCCTGACAAGTGATGTCATTGATAGGCTAAGTGTCTTGCCTCTTTTCTTTCAGTTTTGGTTTGGCACCCGGTTGTCCGCTAAACATTCCATCGCCGTTGCTCGCCAACTCCTCCGCGGAAACTTCGCTTCCTGTAAACACAAGTACGTAAACTTTCGATTTGAAGTACAAGTGACACGTCAACTTGTGAGTGGTCAGATCTATCTGGTTAATCTTTCGTCTGCCTTCTATATATTTCCTTGAAGTAATGTCGAGAGATTTTTTATTGCTAGAATCACCCCCCAGCTGACAAGATTTAGTATTCTCGTAACCAGTTTGCTGGATAGTGTGTTGAAATTATAAGTAGTTACGTGATGACTTACTGTGGGAGTACAAGGGCTAAAAATCTTGTTAAGATACCGCTAGGTGAATGTTTATCGGTTTTTCACTGGGACGAAGTCGCTGTTGAGTAAAGCAATAGACCGTACTTTCCATATAACCCACGCGGGATGCTGATTTTCTGCTATTAGTTTGTTTTAATTCATGTTCGTATTCGCGTATTTGAAAGAAGGACTGTAATCGAGGAAGTGTATTACACAGATATGTTACGAAGTAAATCACGTACAATATTTAGATGATAATAATAGTCCATCGATACTGCAATCACTTCTGGCGGATTCCTGCCTCCTAAATTCCAGTTGGGTTTAGTATGGGACCGAGGCTTGGCCCAATTTGGGCTAACATCAACTGCATTTCTTGCTCCTCGTTGAGGTTTCTGATCTGTAACGGGATGTGGAATAATTTAATTTGACCATTTGATAATAAAAGTAACATTTTTTCTTATTTTTCAAATTTTTTTTCCGACTAGATGGCGCTGTGCTGAGAATGGACCCACTTACAAACCTCCAGGTGGCCGTTAAAAATAATGTGGATGTGTTCTACTTCAGTTGCACTGTTCCTTACAACGTGCTGTTTTCAGAAGATGGCCAGATGGGTGAGTCTTACCCAGGCCACCGCGACTTAGTGGAACATTATTTACTGTTTGAGAATCTGGGCCAAGTTGTTCGAAGGCCGACTAGCGCTAACTTAGGCTTAAATTTTTAATCCAGGTTTCTTTATTTCTTTGTTCAAAAGCCTTTTAGGGAAAATTTTTCTATTTTTTTCTAGAACATCTAATGATCAAATGACAAGCCAAAAGATTTGAACTGAAATTTCCTCTAAAGCTTTCAGACCTGAAATCAAATTTTAACACTAACCCTGGGTTATTTTAACCGAGCCAGGCCAATTTCCAAGTAGGTTTACTAATAACTTAGTTCCGGGCCTCCTCTTGGCTGATGTAAAGCACTGGTACTGTTCGCTGTTGTACAATATCGAAAGACACTCTTGGGACCGGCGTCACTAGTTTGTGGACTTATGGTGCCTGTTATTGTGTCACCTCCCTCACATGCAATACAAGGTTCATTTTTATCCTCCAATAGACCTTACTATTGTATTTCAACATTGCTTGGGGGAGAGGGGTGGGGGGTTAATAAAATCTGCTTTATTAAACTACTTAGGTTGTTTTAAGCTAGTAACATTTTAGAGTTCTAAGAATTTTCTTGCCGTAAAATAATCCAGGACAGATGAAATAAACCAAAATGAGCCAACTGACAAGAAACAAGGTCGGGTAAGGATGGGAGAATGTTTTCTCTGATTGGAAACGATCATCATGTAAAGTCTGGGTTAGATTTTACATGATGAACTAACAGTGATGTGGCGTCTTATGTGAACGCTGGTACAGTTTTTCAATTAATTCTGTCCCTCGGGGTTTTAGCCACTTAGTTTGAAACTCTTTGAACTCGACATTATTCATGGAAATTTAAAAAAAAAATGATCGGGTGTAGTGTTAGTTATTATTATTGATATTATTCTTTTCCTTTATTTATTTATTTATTTATTTGAATCATATCTATGCAGAACAATTTAAAACTTCTCAAAATTTTCTTGTTTTGTTTCTTTCAGATCGCAAGGTGTTTTTAGCCACGTGGAAGGACATACCTGCAGGGAATGAAGTTCAGAATCAAATCACCAATGTAAATTTTTCTTCAGGTAAGATTGTCATATGTGCACCGGATAGTAGATGTTGTCTCTGAATGTTGCACTAACATCATTTTTTATTCGTTGCCTCCGCTTTCTTCTGTAGAAGTTGCTCAACAGAAACTTTCTGCCAACAACATATTTACTATCGCAAAACGTACAGTGGAAGGCCAGGTAATAAAATAGAGTTGACCAATTCTTAAAGTTCACAGGCTGGTTCAGAATTAAGGACTGCACGTCCGTGTGACTAAACTGCTTAATCAAAAAAGAACTATTCACATCCTTAGTGGCCCTAAACTCTTTTATCTCCTTTGCACAAAGAAGCTGCTTTCCTCTAGTGACTTGAATTCCCAGCATTTCAATTTTGAAATGCACTTACTCATTGAAAAATTCCACTTTACCTTCAACAGTACAAAGCTTGAGGGAGGCGCTTTCTGCTAAGTGCACCAATTTATACTTTTGACCTTGTTCGCAAGAGCAGTGGGTGTCCGAGCGCAAAGAACGCAGCAATAATAGTTCGCTTTTTCTTCCATGGCATGTTTTCTAACTTTTGTTATTTTTTCGCCAGGACATGCTTTACCAGTCAGTGAAATTCACCAATAATATCTGGGTTTTGGCCGAACTCAAGATGCAGCCTGGTAACACTGTGGTGCAGGTATGAAGCCTTAAAATAATTGTTTTGTTTTACATTGCAATGGCTATCCTTATAGACAATTTAAATCTCAGTCCCCTTTTTAAAGAACAAACTTTTAGGATCAGCACAGTCATGATGACAGATCTTTAATTTCGAAGTCGTACGAAATATTTTCTGTGCCTTCCCTTGCTTCTTTTCATAACCCATTCACCCAATCTATCTGTCTCCTCCGCCCTCAAACCAGTGTCTACAAACCTCCGGCTCTTGAGTCTGCGCCACCATTCCCTACATTCCGACGTAAAATGAGGTTGTTAGTTAGTTAGTTATCAGTTACCATACTTAGTCCTCAGTACTCTTTGTGATCCATTCCCCGTCGTTCTCGCTTTGTAGAAAAAAGCATTGAACCCAAGGTAAACCACACAAACCTCGATAAACAGATCACCTCTATGATTTTCAAACAGTAACGAAAATTTGCTTGTCTTTCTAACAGTTGTCGCTGAAGACGCGAGCCATGGATGTTGTTATGGGCGTACAAGCTATGTACGAGACCGTCCTACACAACTGAGGGCCTGGAGCTGATTCATATGTAAAGGAATCACCGTTACGTCTCACACTGATAATAATAATAAACTGTAACATTCAGTGTTTACTGAAATAAAAGTAACTTGTCTTACAAATGTTTCCTTGTTTGTTCGTTTTTCTTAAAGACAACAAATGCAACCGTAATAACCACGAATTTTAAAATTTTATCAGCACATTTAACGTCATTGATTATGTAGTGTAAGCGTCGAAAGTCATCCGGGATATTTACTTCGCTGTGTGGTTGGTCCAGAAAACTCGCGCCACTTTCTTAACCGTCAGATGCAAAACCAAAAACCAATCACAAATAGGCACCCCGCGTTTTTCTGTGCTTGAGGCAGTCTGGCTGTTTCTACTTTGAGTTTTAATTGGCTCTTAGATACATCTTTTCTGATTGGTCAATGTGATTTCCTTGGTTTTGGTTTTAGGACAATCAATCGAAGAGTGCTTCGAGCAGATTTGTGACTCCTTTGACCTGTATTACGACCGACATAACACGACGAATGCTACAGACACTTCTTTTTCGACCAAAACTTTGTTGATGCACAGTATTACATTTCCAGAGGGGCTACTCTTGGAATAATTCAAACATTTTAGGGAAGAGTGGGCTTATTATGTGCTCAGAATAATCCACATCTCAAAGATCAGAAAAGTAGTTTATTAAGGACTCGCTTTTCATGATACTAACGTTTATTAACATAAGAAGTACGTCTATTGGTAATATGGTTAATTACCATTATCTAAGCAACTGCATACTTACCCCTACCCTAACCCAACAGTAACCATGGCTTGTTAGCAGTTGACTGTTTTAGGGTTGGGGGAGGGGTAGTTGCCCAGATACTGACATAAAGACGGTTTAACTCAGTGTAGTTCATGTAAAATTTAGGGTGTACCTCGTCAGTCACGACTAAGGCGCCACGTTTACACTTGCTCTGAACAGTTCTATGTGCTGTTCCCTTATTTCCTTTTCACTCTCGCTTCACTGGTACTCAGTCAGTCGAGAACGAGGTGAGTTATGTTCTTTCCAGTCGATTAATGATCGGGTACCTGTGATTCAATCAACTCTAGTGGTAGGAAAACATCATTACGAATTACACTTTTCTGTCGTTAGACTGACGACGGTTTCTGCGGTTAAGCTATCTGTTAAAAGCACGGTTAAATGCACGCAACTTTTCAACGCAACATCCTAAAACATTGTTGCGTGCAACGTGTTGCACACGTTTGGCCAACCTGAAGCAACATGTGGCAAGACATTAGTTGGTGTTGGACAAGGTTTGAAAATGGTCAAGTTTTTGTTACAATATTTTCGGATGTTGCAAGATGCTGCGCGTGTTTTGCCAACCCCTTCACAACATCTTCTAACACGATCCAACAATGTTGCAAGACATTCCGTTGAAATGTTGCCTGCGTTTGGCCGGGCCTCTACAATGCTACCGAGGTGTTATTAAAAAAACTGTTGGTTTACTCAACGGTCAATTGTAAAACAAAAAGGAGGGTAATAATTAGCTTTAGTGGTGAAAAATGGATAAACCCTGCGGCGTTCAAAGGAACTGGAAATTGTCGTAAACTTTAGGGTGTACCTCGTCAGTCACGAATAAGGCGTCACGTTTACATGCGCTTCTCTTTTTATCTTTTCACTCTCGCTTCACTGGTGCTCAGTCAGTCGAGAACGAGGTGAGCTATGTTCTCCCCAAACGATTTATGATCAGGTACAATGCACACGTGGTCTTCTGAAATACAAAGTGTTGGTGTTGAATAAGGCTTGAAAATGGTCAAGTTTTTGTAACAACATTTTCGGATGTTGCAAGATGCTGTGCGTGTTTTGCCAACCCCTTCACAACATCTTCTAACACGATCCAACAATGTTGCAAGACGTTCCGTTGAAATGTTGCCTGTGTTTGGCCGGGCCTTTACAATGCTGCCAAGTTGTTATTAAAAAACCGTTGGTTTACCCAAACGTCACTTATACAGCGAAAAGCAGGGTAATAACCAGCTTTAGTGGTGAAAAATGGATAAACCCTGCGGCATTCAAAGGAACTGGAAATTGTCGTAAACTTTAGGGTGTACTTCGTCAGTCACGAATAAGGCGTCACGTTTACATGCTATTTTCTTTTTTTCCTTTTCACTCTCGCTTCACTGGTGCTCAGTCAGTCGAGAACGAGGTGAGTTATGTTCTCTCCAACCGATTTATGATCAGGTAAAATGCACACGTGGTCCTCTGAAATACAAAGTGTTGGTGTTGGATAAGGTTTGAAAATGTTCAAGTTTTTGTTACAACATTTTCAGATGTTGCAAGATGCTGCGCGTGCTTTGTCAACCCCTTCACAACATCTTCTAACACGATCCAACAACGTTGCAAAACGATTCGTTGAAATGTTGCCTGCGTTTGGCTGGGCCTTTACAATGCTACCAAGGTGTTATTAAAAAACTGTTGGTTTACCCAACGGTCACTTGAAAAGCAAAAAGCAGGGTGGATAAACCCTGCGGTGTTAAAAGGAATTGGAAATTGTCGTAAACTTTAGAGTGTACCTCGTCAGTCACGAATAAGGCGTCACGTTTACATGCCCTTCTCTTTTTTTTCCTTTTCACTCTCGCTTCACTGGTGCTCAGTCAGTCGAAAACGAGGGTCATTTGGTCAAGTTTTTGTTACAACATTTTCGGATGTTGCAAGATGCTGCGCGTGTTTTGCCAACCCCTTCACAACATCTTCTAACACGATCCAACAATGTTACAAGACGTTTCGTTGAAATGTTGCCTGCGTTTGGCCGGGCCTTTACAATGCTACCAAACGTCACTTTGGTTTACCCAAACGTCACTTGTAAAGCAAAAAGCAGGGTAATAATCAGCTTAAGTGGTGAAAAATGGATAAACTCTGCGGCACTCACAGGAACTGGAACTTTTCGACGCACGGCAATCATGCTCAAGCCCTGGACTACCCCTTGCACCATGCCCTCTAACTCACGGTTGGCTATGTTGATTACGGCGACGGAATTATTAGCCGTAGCTGGTGTTACCATCCAAGGCCCTGCTACGACCAGAGAACGGCTCACAGAATGCATACCAGGTGCCGTCAGCACACTCCCGACCCCATCAATGTAGCTCACTCGAAGAGAATCTAGATCCAACACTGCAATCTTATCGAGGTATACGAGGCTGATGTAAGCAACAGAGAGAATCTTGGGGTCGAACACTAGTCGACTGACACCTCCAGGGATTTTCATCGTGGGTTTTTGAATTGGAGCGCTGTCCTTACCAGAAACGACAAGAATGACCACTTCACTGGTGAGGAGAAGGTTGATTGATTCGTTGACGGATTTGTAAAGGGTTACAATGTACCGGCCGTATTTAGAAGCGTAGGGACGTCCTGTGAAATTATAGCTTCGGACAACTTGATCAGTAGCTATGTCAAGCTCCAGGAGTGTCTTGGATCCAATGCAGTCAAAAAAGCCGTGCTTGTTGACCGGGCTGTACGCAAAGTTAAAAGTTCCTCTACAGCCATAGTTTGATACATTCACGAAGTCTTTGTATGTCTTAGATGACAAGTCGAGTTGATGAATACCTGGGTTGAACATATGTGTTACGTAGCCTAAGTTTCCATCCGCTATTTGCTGATCGGCGTACATGTAACCATGTGTCCAGCCTATGAGAATGAGTGAAGAACGATTTAATGGAGAGTGTAAAATGTCACTATGGCAACGTGTGGGAAAATGTTGCCCAAAAAAACGAACCTTCTTTCATCCCCTTAGAGTTTCCCCGGTAGCTCGATGCGTTAACCGTTTTTGATGGTGCGATATCTTCCTTGTAGCATAACATATGGATGTAGTGTTAATTTCAAAGTAAAAACGAGACCAAATTGCTGTCGAAATTTCCTTGCCAAAAGGACGTAGTGTATAAATTTTTTAAAACGCACGTGCTGTGCTATTGTTTTGCTCATTAGATTTTTTGTTTCGCCATGTTCTCGTTGCCGTCGCTGTCGTGATTTTCTTAAAGTCCCTAATAATGTGAAAGAACTGGGTCACGATCAGTTGAATCCGAGCTTGGTGGCTTGTTCTGCAAGAGCTCATAGAGGTTCCTGAAGCATTATAGGATTTGGGGTCAATGCATCTCCCGCTGGATGGGTTGGATTTCTTGACATGGTTTGATTTGGGACTGTCTATTCTAATGTACTTTTTAAATTCTGTGACTATCAGGAAAAAAAAACAAACAAACAAGAAAAAACAAGGAAACCACTGTTGTGTGCATTAATGAACGATGATTTGATACAAGAGAACATCATCTCATATTGTTTTTTAAGATGTTATATCTACGTCTCTTTGTTACTTACCCGGTTGCACATGCGCCTTAATGGCGGTATGTGTCTTCTTCAGACTTCCCGCGATACTGATGACGTCAAACGTAGACTTCGTCCACGTGTGAACCCAGACCTCCTCTAGCCAGGGAAGGTAGTACAAGTCATAAGGATATCCCCCGGTTGGAATTGTTTCTTTAACCTTCAAAGGCAAGGATATCTCTTCAGTACATCTTAAGATATTTTAAGATCTTGAAAGAAACGTATAGGTGAAATAATCTTCTTTCCCTCCGGTGAGCGGGGCTCACAGACCATGCACATTACCTAATTGTTTGAAAATGTCAGTTATAAAAAAAGACAAAACTTTGCTTTGCAAGAATAAAGCGCAAAAAAAGGGAAAATACTGAGAAATATTCAAGAAGTGTATGACTTAAAGCTTAGGCATGTCATTTAATCAGGCGGCCCTTTACCCTTCAGACCTGGATCACTTTTATTTCTACTGGTGAGCAATATACAATAGCGCCCCAGATATATCATTATGCTAATAACTTGTTATTCCTAATCGCACCTCTTGTTTTTCCACATCAATAACATGAACTCGATTCCCAGGACTGTCGCTGAAGAAAATCAGTTCATCCTTAACAGAAATAACTCCTCCAAAAGAACATTTTTTCCTAGAATAACGAGAAAACAGAATTATTATTGAAAAGCACAGCGTGTTTACGTCGGGGAAGATTCGTTCCACTTGACGCTCAGTCGTTTGGTCGAATTGTCTGTACGGAAATGTCGGTATATCGGGATATTTAAATTCTCTTTTAATGTCTGTTTAAATTATTTTTTTTACATTAAGGTTTACAGCCTTACCTGGAAAAGCGATTGTTTGACTTAGTGCAGATATCATCAGTGATATTATGCAAAACTTTTTTGCTCTTCGGATCAATGATTTCAACGCCCTCGGATCCAAATACGTAAACTAGGTGTTCGGGTGTATTTGACAAGACTGATGCTTCTTTTACACTAAAACAAACTAAAACGAAATGAAGCAAAAGTTAGTGTGCACAGAAAAAACACTTCTGATAGGAGGCAAAATTTTGTTTCCGTAAACGTTACTTTGTAGCGGCTTGTCGAAAATCACACATTGAGTAGAAGACATACACCTAATCCGATGATAATATATACAATACGTGCGGATATCGGCGAGTTGCGTATTATTTTTTCGAGCCCCGTTTTTGTGTTTTTAGCACGTTTTTCCTAGCCCCACTTTTTAATCCTGTGATCTATTACTGTTCAGACGCACGGCAACATGGAATCTGGGATTTTTCAATGATGTAGCTCCTTTAACTATTTCTGGAATATTCAAAATGCTGCGCTTAAGTTACTCGAAACAATCTCCAGCTCTGGGAGGTTACGTGTTTCAGGTTTCGATGATTCATGGTTTCGTGGTAATCAGAGACAAACAGGCTCCGGGCATAGTTACAGGGAACAATCTTTGGGACATGAATGTTAAGAGTTCGGAATAGGATAACAACCTGGGGTAAGGATTACGATGTCTGTGAACAGATCGAAAGTACCATAAGTTTGAGGTTAGAGAGGCTTTTAGAAAAAGCGTTAAATTAGCTCATATGAATTCTGTCGAAAATGACCGTGGAATCGCCCCTAGCTCAACCTTAAGGCCAATATCAATCGTACGAGACAACACAGACTACTTGTTGAACGCGCGGAACAAACAATCAACGCAGTGTAATATGTTGAAGAACAGCAGAACCCCATGTTTGTAAAGACTTACCAGTTGCAACAAAAGTAAATCCAAGAAGGAAAACCTTCGCTGAAAGCATTTTTTAACAGGTGTTGGCTCGATTTGATACGAGAATCTGTCAATGTGGTAGTGAAAATTTTAAGACTGGCCGCTCCTAGAGACAGGCAAATGTTAAAAATAAACACACCTTAAATGGTTTGTGACGTACGTTTATGTTTTGCGATATAATTTGTGGCAAAGTCACGCTATCGTCAAATCGCACTCGCGCTTTTAATGGGAAAGGATTAAGTCGAACCTCCGGCGATCAATCGACAACAAATTACAGAGCACAACTTACATGGGATAGATAAGCCACAAAAGCCCTTTTGTAATGAAGAGAAATTCTTGTTATTTTGTTGCTTCGTGCGGCTAAAAACGAAACATTACATCATATGCTATACTTGGGTCTTATAGAAATTTTGACAAGCTCGACCGAACTTTCAGTAGGTTGGATAAAAATGAGCATATTTAAAAATATTGTCAAAAGCACTTGAAATTTTGGGACAACTACTCATCTTCAACTTCAATGTTATTGAAAAGTGTTTCTTTTAGCCAAGGCTAAAGGTTTTTGAAAGTTCCCTCATTTTCTAAGTCTGATAGAGGGAGTTTCCTGGTTTTACCTGTCTTTTCTAGTTGTCGACTTCTTTGAACCTAAAGAAAGTCTCTTAAAGTAGTCGTGTTGTTGTTGTTGTTTTTGTAGCCCTTACGCAAGTTTTAAGATTGATATGTCTGCGAGTCCGCATCCGCATTTGTAGTTTTTAGATTAAGGTGTCTAAATAAAGGACATAAAACAGTAGTTCGGTCAACTGTTCCGAATTCGGGCCTCTCGGACCCGAGTCCAGCGTGTTAACCGTTTTTCCCTTCTTGTCATTACTAGTGGTTGGCTGATCAGATGAAACAGAGAATGAAGAAGAACTGAAACGACACGTGTAGACTCTTGATACCTTCCGCATCTAATTACATATTTAAATCAAAGAACTCAGCACAAAGAAGCTTCTTAAACTTCCAACATGGAAATAAAGCAAATTTTCATAACAAAAACGGTATTTTCCGCCCAAAAAAGTTTTATTTCAACTTTACTAAAGTTCGTAAATTAACAAAAATCCTTCGTTTTAAATAAAAGCGCCCTGATTTTACACTCAGTTACCAAGAAGACATCGTTTTCTTCTATAAGGAAAATATAAGATATCATGTTTTCGGAACAAGATAACTTTTGATATTTTATCAATATCTGAACAGTTGTTTAACCGAAAGTGTAGCAAAGATAGATAAACGAATAGAAACTGTGGGTTAAGCTGATATAAGGATATCGATCGGACGAAGATGAATTATAAAAGATCATTGAAGTTGCAAAAGTATCAAAGAAAGAAGTGAGAGCAAAGCCTAAATTCAGTGCTTCTGTTGTTTAGAGCACTGCATCAGTATCACGGAATGTTTATACGTTAAAACTCGTTTATACAGTGCACTAAAGCTGTGAAAGTGGCATGATAACACTGATACAACGGCCCATGACAACAGACAAAGAATTCGCCCTGTTGGAAAAACTTCTCAGATCTCACCCTAAATAAAGATACCAAGCTAGTGTGGCTCTCTCGGAATAAAACAACGTTCAGTTTTGACTCAAACGTTTATTTTCAGAGCGGCCTCTAGAAGCCTGCACTTGGTCAGCGGTATTCGTTGTTTGCCGGCGCGCAGTCTACTCTCCTTTTATGATAACGTCATTCTGGTCATGGTTAAGCTACCAGTCCCAGACCCATGGAGAAGAATTATTATACGCAGATGGCAAGGCATATCTAGAAGATATATTTTGCAGTTAACATCATGTTATTACTGGTTTGTGCAAAAGTTGACTTCATTTATTTGAGTTAGATACGTTGATCAAAGTTAAGGGATTGGTAAGTACTCGTCTCGCTCTGTTTATTTTGGCTCATTTTGAGTACTTTTTTAGAACATCACAGGCCAAGAGAATGAAAGCGGTAAATAGAACAAGGGAAATCAAATTACTGTCAAGCATCCTTACCTGTATGGAATTCTGCCGTTACTTGTCGTCACAATAATCATTGTATCCATGTACGTCACGTCTTTTCCAATCTAACCTAGGGAAACTAGCATTGCTTAATAGAAAGCGGATATTTACTGCGGATATTGCGGCAACGAAACGTTCAGGGGGTCTGGTTTCTATCTTCTTGCCATTTTAATCTATGGAGATGCAATAAAATGAATTCGTAATTAAAAAAAAAACAGTGAAATTCTTGAGTCTGACCAATGGACCAATGAAACTAGGCAAACCCCATTGCATCTATAAAAGCGAAAACATGCATACAAATTTAAGAAACCTTAAAAATCCTCGTCAACCGTGAGTATTACGAGTACACTTTCTCTAAAACAAGTATCGTTATGCTCAAAGCTCCCTTTAAGGCGATCACGATGTACCTGGAGGCTAATAACAATGTGCTGTAATCACAGAATACAACCTCTTTTTAGTATTACCGACTGAAGTACAACTGAACCTTTCAATGACTAGTAACATTGCAATATTCTTTTTAGGAATTAAAAGTGCAATTTTTATTCAAAACACAATCTTGAAATCATTGTTTTTATGTGCTTTATGCTGTAAAAGTCTAGGTTCGTTATAGAAGTTGCTCAACAGAAACTTTCTGCCAACAACATATTTACTATCGCAAAACGTACAGTGGAAGGTCAGGTATTGAAATAGTGTTGATTAATTCAAACAGTTCACAGCCTGCTGTAGAATTAAGGACTGCACGTCAGTCGAGCTAAACTGCTCAATCAAATAATCCGATGCAACATTCGATGACTGGATATTATCTGGATGAAATTACTCAATCAAACGATTTATTGCAAAAATCGAGAATGTATTAATTCATCAAAAAGGAACTATTCACGCTCTGAGTCACCTTAAACTTTTTTATCTCCCTTACACAAAGAAGCTGCTTTCCTCTCGTGACTTGAAGTCCCAGCATTTCCATTTTGTAATGCACTTACTCATTGCAAAATTCCACTTCACCCTCAACAATTTAAAGCTTGAGTGAGCCACTCAAAGTTTCTGCTAAGTACATTAATTCCTTGTTTGCAAAAGCTGTCCGTTGGTTTTGGTTTTACGAAAATCAATCGAAGAGTGCTTCAGGCAGATTTGTAACTCCATTGACCTGTATTACAATCGGAAGCAATTCGTACATAACATTACGAATACTACAAACACTTCTTTTTCGACCAAAACTTTGTTGATGCACAGAATTACATTTCCAGAGGGGTTACTCTTGGAATAATTCAAACATTTTAAGGAAGAGTGGGCTTATCGTGTGCTCAGAATAATTCACATCTCAAAGAACAGAAAAGTAAGTTTATTAAGGACTCGTTTTTAACTGACACTAACATTTATTAACATAAGTATCAAGTCTATTGGTAATATGGATTAATGCCATTATCTAAGCAACTGAATACTTGCCCCTCCCCTAACTCAACAATAACCATGACTTGTTATCAGTTGACTGTTTTAAGGTTGTGGGAGGAGTAGGTGCACAGTTGCCCAGATACTGATATTGATCCGATAATATGGGTCAGATTTTTTTTCTGATTCTACTATGCCCCATCATTGACTTGTCTAAAGACGGTTTAACCCAGTGGAGTTCATGGAAATTTTGGATGTAGTTCGTCAGTCTCGTATAAATCGTCAAGTGTACACCTGCTCTGACCAGTTCAATGTGCTGTTCCCTTTTTTCTTTTCACACTCGTTTCACTGGTTCTCTTCAAGTCAGTCGAGAACGAGGCGAGTTATGTTCTTTCGAACGGATTTAAGATCAGGTACAATGCACACTTTGAAATATAGATTTGGCTCTGCGATTCAATCAATTCTAGTAGTAAGCAAAAAAAATCTTTACGAAGTGCACTTTTCTGTCGTTAAACTGACAGCGGTTTCTGCGGTTTCTATCCATTAAAGGCAAGGTCAAATGCACGCAACATTTTGCAACTTTGTTATGTGCAATGTGTTGCATGAGTTCGGCCACCCTGTAGCAGCATGGAGCAATTTGGTGTTGGATAAAGCTTAAAATGGTCTAATTTTTGTTGCAACATTTTTGGATGTTGCAAGATGCTGCGTGCGCTAGCCAGTTCCTTCACAATATCCAATAACACGATCCTACAATGTTGCAAGATGTTGCATTGAAATGTTATGTGCGTTTGGTCGATCGGGCCTTCATAATACTACCAAGGTGTTATGAAAAATTGTTGGTTTACCCAACGGTTACTTGTAAAGCAAATAGTAAGGTAATAATCAGCTTAAGGGGTGAAAAATAAATAAACTCTGCAGCGTTTAAAGGACCAGGAACTTTTTGACGCACGGCAATCATGCGCAAGCCTTGGACGACCCCTTGCACCATGCCCTCTAGCTCACGGTTGGCTATGTTGATTACGGCGACGGAATTATTAGCTGTAGCTGGTGTTACCATCCAAGGCCCTGCTACGACCAGAGAACGGCTCACAGAATGCATACCAGGTGCCGTCAGCACACTCCCGACCCCATCAATGTAGCTCACTCGAAGAGAATCTAGATCCAACACTGCAATCTTATCAAGGTACACGAGGCTGATGTAAGCAAAAGAAAGAATCTTGGGGTCGAACACTAGTCTACTGACACCTCCGGGGATTTTCACAGTGGGTTTTTGAATTGGAGCGCTGTCCTTACCAGAAACGACAAGAATGACCACTTCACTGGTGAGGAGCATGTTGATTGATTCGTTGACGGATTTGTAAAGGGTTACAATGTACCGGCCGTATTTAGAAGCGTAGGGACGTCCTGTGAAATTATAGCTTCGGACAACCTGATCAGTAGCTATGTCAAGCTCCAGGAGTGTCTTGGATCCAATGCAGTCAAAAAAGCCGTGCTTGTTGACCGGGCTGTACGCAAAGTTAAAAGTTCCTCTACAGCCATAGTTTGATACATTCACGAAGTCTTTGTATGTCTTAGATGACAAGTCGAGTTGATGAATACCTGGGTTGAACATATGTGTTACGTAGCCTAAGTTTCCATCCGCTATTTGCTGGTCGGCGTACATGTAACCATGTGTCCAGCCTATGGGAATGAGTGAAGAACGATTTAATGGAGAGTGTAACATTTCACTATGGCAACGTGTAGGAAAAAGTTTCCGAAAAAACGAATCTTCTTTCATCCCCTTAGAGTTTTCCCGATGCGTTAACCGTTTCTGATGATGCAATATCTTCCTTACAGCATAACATGTGGATGTAGTGTTAATTTCAAAGTAAAAACGAGACTTAATTGCTGTCGAAATTTCCTTGCCAAGAGGACGTAAAGAAATGTACAAACTCTTTTAAAACGCACGTGCTGTGCTATTTTTCTGCTCATTAGCTTTTTTGCCAGGTTCTCATTGCCATCGCTGTCGTGATTTTCTTTAAGTCCCTAATAATGTGAAAGAACTGGGTCACGATCAGTTGAATCCGCAAGAGCTTGGTGGCTTGCTGCAAGAGCTCTTAGAGGTTTCTGAAGCATTATGGGATTTGGGCCAAAGCATCTCTTCCTGGATGGGATGGATCTCTTTACATGGTTGGACTTAGAACTATCTATTGTGATGTACTTTTTAAATTCTGTAATTATCAGGAAAAAAAGAAAGAAAAAACAAGGAAAATGCTGTTGTGCGCATTAGTTAACGATGATTTGATACAAGAGGACATTATTTCATATTGTTTTTTACGATGTTATACCTACGTCTTCGTGGTACTTACCCGGTTGCACATGCGCTTTAATGGCGGTATGTGTCTTCTTCAGACTTCCCGCTGTACTGATGACGTCAAACGTAGAGTTCGTCCAAGCGTGAACCCAGACCTCCTCTAGCCAGGGAAGGTAGTACAAGTCATAAGGATATCCCCCGGTTGCAATTGTTTCATTAACCTTCAAAGGCAAGGATATCTCTTAAGTTCCTCTTTAGATATTTTAAGATCTTGAAAGGAATGTATAGTTGCAACAAATGGTGAGCGGGGCTTACAGACCATGCACATTACCTCATTGTTTGAAAATGTCAGTTATAAAAAAAAGACGAAACTTTGCTTTGCAAGAATAAAGCGCAAAAAAACGGAAAAACACTGAGAAATATTCAAGAAGTGAACTAAGGTTAAAGCTAAGGTAGGTCATTTAATCAGGCTGGTGGATTTTTCTGTTTTATTTCTCCTGGTGAGCAATATACAATAGCGCCCCAGATATATCATTATGCTAATGAATTGTTATTCCTAATCGCACCTCTTGTTTTTCCACATCAATAACATGAACTCGATTCCCAGGACTGTCGCTGAAGAAAATCAGTTCATCCTTAACAGAAATAACTCCTCCAAAAGAACACTTTTTCCTAGAATAACGAGCAAACGGAATCGTTATTGAAAAGCAGTGTGTCTTGTCAGTCTGTCTGTCAGAAATGTCCATCTGGGCCCAGTTTTTCAAAGACCGATTAGCCCTAACCCAGGGTTAAATTTTAATTCAGGTTTCTTTATTTCTTTGTTCAAAAGTATTTTTGGGAAAATTTTCACAGTTCTTTTTAGAAAATCCAATGATCAAATTGCAAGCAAAAAGATTTGAACTGAACTTTTTCTTAAAGCTTTCGGATCTGAAATCAAATTTCGCACAAACCCTGGGTTACCTTTACCCAGCTTTGAACAACCCGGGCCAGGTCAATGAATCGATCAGCCTATATGTCTGTAGCTCGGATGGTCGGCCTGTTCATCAATTTTTTTTACTTGCTGGTGCGCCTGTTTGACCGTGTGGGATATTATCGGTAAAATCGGGATATTTCCATAAAATTCTCTTTTTAACATGTTTAAGGGTTTACAGCCTTACTTGGAAAAACGATTGTTTGACTTAGTGCAGATACCGTCCGTGATCTTGTGCAACACTTCTTTGCTCTTCGGGTCTATGATGTCGACGCCCTCGGATCCAAATACGTAAACCAATTGTTCGGGTGTATTTGACAAGACTGATGCTTCTTTTACACTAAAACAAACTAAAACGAAATGAAGCAAAAGTTAATGTGAACAGAAAAAAAAAACTTCTAAGAGGAGGCAAAATTTAGTCCCCGCAGACGTTCCTTAGTATCGGCTTGTCGAAAATCACGCAATGAGTGGAAGACATACACCTAATCCGGTGATGACATATACAATATGCGCGGATATCGGCGAGTTGCGTGGTATTTTTCCGAGCCCTGTTTTTATGTTCGTAACACGTTTTTCCGAGCCCCACTTTTCATTCGTTCTCAGCTGCACCACATTTTGATGTCATCTGTGATCTATTACTGTTCAGACGCACGGCAACATGGAATCTGGGATTTTGCATTGATGTAGCTCCTTTAACTATTTCTGGATTGGTTCCAAATGCTGCTGGTTCCAAATGCTGTTGGTTTCAAATACTGCTAGTTCCAGATGCTGTACGAAGTTACACGAAACAATCTCCAGCTCTGGGAGGTACGTGTTACAGGTTTCGATGATTCATGGTTTCGTGCCAATGAGAAACAAGCAGGCTCATACCTTTGTTACAGGGAACAATCTTTGGGACATGAATGTTTATGGTTCGGAATAAAACAGTAACCTGGGTTAAGGATTGCGGCGTCTTTGAAGATCGAAAACACCATAAGTTTGAAATTAGAGAGGCTTTTAGAAAAAGCGTTAAATCAGTTCATGTGAATTCTGTCGAAAATAACGATGGAATCGCCCCCAACTCGACGTTATGGCTAATACCAATCTTACGAGACAACACAGACTACTTGTTGAACACCCGGAATATACAATCAACGCAGTGTCATATTTTGAAGAACAGCATCACACCATGTTTTGTAAAAACTTACCAGTTGCAAAAAAAGTAAATACAAGAAGAAAAACCTTCGCTGAAAGCATTTTCAACAAGCACTGGCTCGATATGATACGAGAATCTGTCAACGTAGTGGTGAATATTGAAGATGGCTGCCTCAGGAATCGTGAAAATACTGAAAATAATCATACCTTAAATGGCTTATGACGTATACTTTCATGTTTCGCAATATCATCAATAGCAAAATCACGCTTTCGTCAAATCGCACACGCGCTTTCTTTGGAAAAGGATTAAGTTGAAGGTCGGGCGGTCAGTCGACAACGAATTAAAGAGCACAGCTGTTGCGTGCAGCTGAAACGAAACGTTACATCATATACTACACTTGGGTCTGATCGAGATTTGGATAACCTTGACCGAGCTTTCCGTTTCAAGTCTTAAGATTCATATGTCTGCAAGTCCGCGCATGGGGTTTTTTAGACTAAAGAACATAAAACAATAGTCCAGCTAATTCCAAATTCAGGCCTCTCAGACCCAAGTCCAGCGCGTCAACCGTTGTGCCACAACTTTACCTTTCCTGTTATTAGTAGTGGTTGGTTGACCAGACGACACAGAGAATAAAGAAGAACTGAAACGACAGGTTAAGACTCTTAAAACCTTCCGCATCTAATTACACATTTAATCAAAGAACTCAGCGCCTAGAGAAGCTTCTTAAACTTCCAACTTGGGGATAAAGCAAGTTCTCATAACAAAAAATTATTTTCTGCACAAAAACAGTTTTATTTCAACCTTACTAAAGTTCGTAAATTAACAAAAACCCTTCGTTTTAAATTTAATAAAACCGCCGTGATTTCACCCTCAGTTACCACGACGACATCGTTTTCTTCACTAGGGAAGATATAAGATATCATGTTTTCAGAACAAGATAACTTCCGACATTTAATCAATATCTAAACAGTTGTTTAACCGTAAGTAGTGTAACAAAGATAGATAAACAAATAGAAACTACGTGTGTGGGTTAGCTTGATAAGGATATCGATCGGACAAAGATGAATTATGGAAGATCATTGAAGTTGCAGATATATCTAAGAAAGAAGTGCGAGCAAAGCCTAAACTCAGTGCTTCTGATGTTTTGAGCACTGCACCAGTATCACGGAATGGTTATACATTAAAACCCGTCTATACAGTGCTTTGAGCTGTGAAAGCGGCAAGATGGCCCATCAACAACAGACAAAGAATTCACCCTGTTGGAAAAACTTCTCAGCCTAAATAAAGATACCAAGCCAGTGTAGCTCTCTCGGAATAAAACTACTTTCAGTTTAGACCCAAGTGTTTATTTTCGGAGCGGCCTTTAGAGGCCTGCTCTTGGTCAACGGTCTTCGTTGTTTGCTGGTGCGCAGTCTCCTCTCCTTTTATGATAACGTCATTCTGGCCATGACTGAGCCACCAGTCCCAGGCCCATGGGGAACAATTATTGTACGCAGATGGTAAGGAATATCTAGAAGATATATTTTGCAGTTAACATCATGTTATAATGGTTCGTATAAAAGTTGACTTCATATATTTGAGCTCACTTAATCAGCTATGCTGGTCAAAGTTAAATGATAGATAGGTACTCGTCTCGCTCTGTTTATTTTGTGTCATTTTGAGAACTTTTTTAGAACCTCACAGGCCAAGAGAATGAAAGCAGTAAGAGGAACAAGGGAATATTTTTCTCAAATTAATGTCAAGCATCCTTACCTGTGTGGAATTTTGCCGCTACTTGTCGCAACAATAACCATTGTATCCATGTGCGTCACGTCTTTTTCCAATTCAACCTAGGGAAATGAGCATTGCTTAATAGAAAGCGCATATTTTCTGCGGATATTGGGACAACGAAACGTTTGGGGGGTCTGGTTTCTATCTTCTTGCCATTTTAATCTATGGAGATGCAATAAAGTGAATCGTAGTTAAGAAAAAAAATGAAGGTGAAACTCTAGAGTCTGACAACTGGACCAATGAATTAGGCAAACCACATTGCATCTATAAAAGCGAAAATGTGCGTACAAATCTAAGAAACCTTAAAAATCCTTGTCAGCCGGGAGTATTACGCATACACTTTCTCTAAAACAAGTATCGTTATGCTCAAAGCTCCCTTTAAGGCGATCACGATGGACTTGGAGGCTAATAACAATGTGCTGAAGTCACAGAATACAACCTCTTTTCAGTATTACCGACTGAAGCACAACTCAACCTTTCAATGACTAATAACATTGCAATCTTCTTTTTAGGAATCAAAAGTGCAATTTTTATTCAAAACACAATCTTTAAATCAATGTTTTTATGCACATTGTGCTGTAAAAGTCTGTGTTCGTTTTATAGATCAGAAATCAACTTTTTCTAAAAAACCTTGAATGCACTTCTCTTTTCGTCAAAACTCATTTCAGAACTTGCCTAAAAATTAGAGTCTTCTGACTTACCTGCTCAACGCCTAATATTCGGCTCGAGCTAATCTTGCAACAACAAAATGGTGATCGATTTGGCTTTGATAACGAATAGGGCAGGATGTAACAGCAAAGCTGTTTGCTATACTCTTTGAAAATTTCGAGCTTCGCGTTGTTTATAGACGCTTATTTATATTAGAGGTTAATTCCACCTGTTAAAAACCCTTCCTAGGGGTAAATATTTTTCATGTTAGTTCGTGACTTACCAATTAGTGTTTCTAGTTCCAAAACATCAAGAAGGCTATGGTTATGCTCATAGTTCCCTTAAAAAAAAATAACTGATAAATAAAACGATGGCTGCATTGAAGGACGCCACCACAATATTCATCTATGTAACACAAAGGTATTGGGAAATAAGAAATGTCGGAACCGCGGAGTTTACCTCTCTTGCGAGCTTCGGTTATTAACAAAAGGCTGAACACCAATCATAAAAGAAATCAGGGCCTTGCTACATTATATTTTCCATAAATTTAAAACACCGAACACGTTTAAATAAAGTAGTCAGAATAGATGATGTAAGATTTGATTTCAACGAAAAAAATGTGCGTTCAGGGATTAAGGTTTACATACCTTGCCAGATTTGTAAAGAAATTGGCCAACTGAACAAATCTTAGATACTGAAATTACTAAGGGGCTCGTTTCCTATCAGAAACCATGATCTCTATATTTCTACGTGTTTCAACCTGCAGAGCACGTCAGGCAGACCAGAGGGACTTGAAAAATACGCTCTTAAAACCATAGGTTGGGTTCCAAGTCCTGGGCGGCTACTGTTGCTGTCTCGCTCAACTGACTTCCGTAGTATCAAAGGGTATAAAAAAACTGATTCTAACATTAAGAAGAAACCTTAAACGTGCATTTATGACGACAACTTAACTGATTTGAGTTATTATTTTACATAGGTGTCAACATTTGTATTCGGTTTGGTTACAAGTAGGATAGGGCCGTGATTTCGTTTCATGCGCGACTTTTGCTTAATTTACGCGCCAAGAACACTCTGTTGTAAGTATGTATTTGCAATAATACATCTTCTGACGGGTGAGGGGCCAATTTAGCTGTAAGCTAGTTTTAAAAGCTTTATTTTGATTACCTTTACACAAGTGACTCTGAACAATGGTTCGTGAGAACGTCTCATATTAACACTACCTGAACAAAATCAATGCACCTTGCAGTACTCTTGAGAGGCAACGAAGGCAATACTGAAGACACTGATTACAATATCGATTTGATTATCCCCAGCTCTTAAGGGCACAATTTTTTTTATCTACATACGTCTCACATTTCCGACGATTAGACTAATTTATTCACTGGTCAAGTAGGCGAAAAGGAGCCTGTCTCCTTTAAAGCTCAGTCGGCCATGTTGAACAGCAAGATTATCCAGCACCAACACATCTCTCTTCCGCCATGAAAATCCCACAGCATTTCGCCAGCCTGTCGCCCGGACATGCTCAATCACTTCCGGGTCAATCTCACCTCCGTCGCCATAAAGTGTGTGAGTTGGATACATGTGGTTGGGGAGAGACACGCCATCAAACATGGGAGACTCCTTGTAGTACGTGTTGTGATGAACGTTTGGTTGTGTGAACCAAATTTTGCGGCCTGTGACTGGATGAGTCGCCAGTGGTGGAAGTACGTACCAGTAATACAGATTTCCGGTGCCTTCCTCCCACTCATAATGAAACTTTTCTCTTTTCAAGTATTCTTCAACTTTCTACCATTCCAAAAAAAAAACAAAAAAAAAACAACGCATTCAATTGGAAATGATTCTTGATGCAGTTTAATACTACTGATGAATGAGAGGGACCAGTCCATGATATACCAATCAGTGTTTGTTTTTCAAAAACATAGAAAAGGTGAGAAAAATGAAGTGGATCAAAAACACAAAAGGAAGACAACGAGATGTCTAAATTGAAGGATATCACCACAATATTCATTTAGGGACCAGACATATAAGGGATGTACTATAAGAAACTTACTTTTTTTTAGTTGAATGGTAAGTCTTACGTTACAATGAATGAGCAATATTCTGTCGTCGAAATAAAAATGTGTATTTTATTTTCTTGGAGCCTCTGTTCATCCAGAAGAGTGAATGGTTACCGGCAAACTTTCAGGGAGACCCGGTGAAAGGTTGTGGGAGGGAGGGAGGGGGGTAGCTTGCAGTTGACTGGTACCCCAGGGAGTAGGAAAGGCAATACTTCTAGTCGTATAACGCTGCAGAAGCCGGGATAATATCCGATAAGATGAGCCACTAGGCTAGCTGTCACTCTTAACTCTTTACCGAAAGAGAAACATAACACATACCTTTGGGTCTTTGGTCATAAACGACTGTTGCCACGAGGCATAGGGATGATGTTTCTCGTCAGGTAGGTATCGCGTGTAGCGTATTTGTCTTTCTTCCAGTATCCTTACCACTTCCGGATCAAGCTGATCGTAGACCTCGTTATTTCTGACCAGCGGAGTTACACCTCCCCATTCTTCGTTAGGCTCAGTGAGACAAAAGAAAATGACCTGTTATAAAGAGAATATGTTATTAGGAAATTACCATATGAGGGGAAAGCCAACCTCTCAAAATGTGTCGAAAATTTTTTTCGTCTGAGGGTTATGAAATGATAACTCTTAATCCGGGGAGCATAAAGGACTAAGGAGTTGGCGGATCAATGTTAGTATCTGACCAACTGCGCACCTACCCCTCCCCTAACCCAAAATTAACTCTAAATTGTTATCAGTTAATTGTCGTTGGTTTAAGGGAGGGGTGGGTAGGTTCGCAGTTGCTCAGAAACTTACATACGAGTTACTTACGAGTGTTTTGTCTGGGAGTCACCGTGACCTTATGATCACATGGAAACGTTTGAGTCCAATACCTGAGCCCAAATTCTCCTGTTTTGTTATTGCGTTTTATCCCATTCAAAAGTATCATTGAGTACTTTTGACTTCTAAGTGAGACTTAATCAAATCCTGTTAAGTGACATGGGATATACTATTATCCAGTTCAAGAGGATTAGCGTACCTCAAGTTTACGGTTAATTGATTCATTTTATCGAAACCGTGAATAACTCACTTGGCCACTTGTCTCTCTTTCAGGGTACAGTCTGTTTTTTTCTTTTTTTCCCAGGGGGAGAAACAGAGGATGGGGGGGGGGGGTGTAGGGGGGGCTCACATGATTTTCAGGGGTAACGGATGGGGCATTAGTCGTTACCAACAGAGTATCAAGGATGGACGATAGAAAATTGACTGCAAATTTACTGCCGATAAGGGAAGGGGGAACATAAGAATATTGCAGAGGCTAATGGGGGGGTACATGCCACAACTAGATTCCTCCAATCCACCACCCATCTAAAAATTCTAAGGTCTAAATGTCTAATAGTGAATGGAAACGCATCACCTTCTTGGGATGAACTGGTGAACAAGCCATCTCATTATGAAGCTCGATGTTAAAATCTGGGGGATCACTAGTGGATAAATACACTTCCGTTTCACCTTCTGCTAGGTATCTGTTTCCGGTGCCACCTTCGTAATTCGTTGGTTTGTAGCCGAGGTTGTCCGCAAACTTGGCGAAATCTCCCGCCTCAAACAGGGGTAGATTTCGAAATAAGACAGCGCTGTATTTTGGAAGAACTTTATCAAGCTGTTCCCGGCAAAGCTGACCCCATTTATCAGGGGTCAGGTGATCAATAGATTCGGCGCGCAAAGCAAATGGGAATCCTTCTCTTGCAGATGAAAGGAATTTCGGGAGGCCCTTTCCACCAGATCCAGGCAGGTATTTCCTGCCAGCAATTTGATGTTTAAATTGCAGCGCTAAATCCTTGAGAGGTAAAGGTGTGAAGAACGACTGATTTTCTGGAACTTGAGGCTTTGAGGAAAAGGATATTGTTAGCCTGATCGCACATAAAATGGATCGTGTTCCATGGTGTACGGGATTCCCCGTGAAAACAGATTTTGATGTTAACATCTGCAAAATGATATATACATATTACTGAATAGTCGAAAGTAAAGAATATATTTTCAGGTAATAGATAATTTTAAGTCATCTTTCTTTGCTTAACGAATTATCTCTTTGGTTTTTAAGTTTTCAAGGAAAAACCAACACATTGATGGTTATTGTTCAAGTTCAGTTAATTTGACTTCTTTAAATCGGAGATTTATATTTTAACACATTTCGTGAATACATTTCACTATACTTTGCATCCTAAGAGAGGCTTTTCATTGCTAAGCACACAGCATACTAGTTACACCACGTACAGCCTATACGAGAAGGCCAATTATTGAAATGTTTGGAGACGAGCCAGGAAAATGGGAAAGATGCGGGAATTGAAATTTACAATTATGTTTACTACAGATGGTTTAGTCATTACTTCCTTCTTGTGTGGCTAAGAGGAGGCAGAATCATGAAGGTTAAACATCAGAGTTGAGAGGACATTCTGTTACGATAGCATCAAACTACAGGATGTGATATTGTAGCAATGACGCCTGATATCAACTCTGATTTTGATGAAAATACTCGATTTGGCGCCTTTGGGATGAAATGCTTGATTTTCATAGCGCATTAGTAATCGCTAAGAATACCTGGGATGCGGAAAAATAAAGACTGTAATGTAATTCGAGTTCATTTCGTTTGTAGGTTCGGAAGCTCATCAGTGTGTGCGGTAAAATTAGTTCGCTCGAGAACTGCGTCGGGAACATAACAAGGCTCATGACCAGAAATACCTTTGTTGTTGTTTCCTCTGTCACCAATTAGAATTCTCTCGTCTCTCTAACGCCTGAATGCATAAATGAATTAAACTTTTGGAAAGACAATCTTGCTACCATCAACGGTTTGCCTTTGTGGCCCGTAAAGCGCAAACCAACGAAAATTGTATACTCAGATGCGTCTGATGCAACCTGCAGAAGTTATATTCAGTTCGAAAACAAAGTCCCCATGTAATTTGTGGTAATCCTAATAAGCAAATCAATATTTTGCCGGCACGTATTAGAGGTCCGGGGGCGGGTGCGAGGTGCGCGGAGACTTATGGGATCGTAGTTTGTAAGTAGAGGTCGTTAGTAGGGCAAGACATTTTACGGTCCGCCTTCGCCCTGTTAATTTGTTCCTTTTCGATTTCATTTTTGTCTAAATGTA